AAGTCCTCTTATTAATTTTAATTTTTTAATTTTTGAGACAGAGTCTTACGTAGTTGCTTAAGATCTCACTAAGTTGCTGAGGCTGGCCTTGAATTTTCGATCCTCCTGCCTCAGTGTACTGAATCACTGGGATTATAGGTATGTGCCAATACGCCTGGCAAATGAGTGATTTTTGAAGACCATTATGACTTTGGTGTTTAGGATGAATGTCAGAGAGGAAAGAGTAAAAGTGAAAAAATAAGCAAGAAGGCTGCTGTAGTCATCTCTGCATGAGATAATGTGATTTTATGCTGATTGATAGAAAAAAGGGGAGAAGTGATAAAAACAAGGGATGTGTAGGAAATGTTAACAAGTGTCGGTGACTGGATGGATCTGATGGATCTGATTAACGTGGAGACATTAATTAGACAGCATTCTTGATGTCAATTTAGGATTCTAAAAAAAGGCTSTTTAGTACCAGAAATGTGGTGAATAGCTGGAAAGAGGAGGTTAATTTTTGCTCTATATTTTCTTTTTATTCCTCCGCCCTACCTCTCTCTGTTCATTTTTTTTTCTTACAGAGGGGAATATAGAAAGAATAAAAGGCTCTATATATGGACATATAAATATAGCATAATATTATGTGGAATTTATTAAAAGACATTACATGAATATGGAACTAACTATTGAAATGTTTTGAAAGAATGAGCAAGTCCAATCTGATAGCCATTGATATAGGAAATGGAAAGATAAACTCTTCCAAAAGCTATATTTCTTTCTTCTTTTTTTTTTTAAAAAAAATTTATTTTTTCCTTTCCTTTTCTTTCTTTCTCTTTCTTTCTTTCTTTCTTTCTTTTTTTTTTTTTAAGAATAGGGAAAAAGAAGTCTTATTGCTTTGCAAAGGAGAATCACAGGGCACGGTTGTCCCAGAGGTTTAGATTCTGCCTATCAGGGGAAGGATTAGGGTGGTTTGAAAGGGGGGATGCAGAGGCAACATTCCACGTGTTCTCTGTCCAGAATTGTAATTCACTTGTTAATTTGGAAGATTGTCATTTCTTAGATCTTCTGGTGGTATCCCCAAAGTCTGAATTTCTTCCTTCCAGGGGTGAGTGTCTGCTCAAAGACAAATTATTCTGCCTACTATGGGGAAGAAGGGTAATCCTGTCCCCCTCCAAGACTAGTGACTGGAGGAGATTAGGGAGAGGGAGAGAAAGAGGAAGAGAAAGATACATGTCTATTTAAAAATAAATTGCAGTAGTACAGCAGAAAGGTCTATATTCAAAGCTTAAAGAGGGCCACTGTTACATTTCCCTACTGTCAGTTTCTACATTTCATTTCTACAGAAAAATGGACAATGACATTTCCAAGATGCTTTCTGCTGATAGAGAGTGAATTTGGGGGAACTGATCCAAAGTCTTTGTTCTCTATCAGATGGGGTGTGCACAGACACTTATGGGTATTTAACATCAAGGCAGTCTAGAGGTCTATGGTAGCAGTTGGTGGGTGACTGGACAAGGCATTCTTAGGGCAGGGATTGTCTAGATGGCCAAGGGTGTTGTGACTTTACTGCATTCAGTTTCCTTTTTCTTAAAGTGGATCAAGATGGAGCAACCACTACTCTTTAGGAAGAGAAGGCAGGAGTTTCCTGAAGGAAAAGGAGCTTTGACAGTTGCTGGGACTGTCCCTTAGACTCTCCTTTTTACTCATAGGAATAGCTCCTTTAGTTTGATCCGAGGCAAACTCATCTGTCTCTTAACTCACCAGCAGTGGCTCTCAACAAGTTCACTGGCCACCTTGCATCCTTAGCATTGAAGGGGGTTGCTTGGACAAGCAGACCTGCCCAAAAAAGCCAGAGTCTCAGGTCCCATTTGGGTCACCAATTTATTCCCTAAAGCTCTATCCTTGTCCTTGATGCTAATTCAATAACGAGGACACAGTTTTGAGGAAAAGGAAGACATTTTATTGCTTTGCTAGCAAAGGAGAAACATAGGGGACTTGCTGTCCCAGAGGCTGTGATTCTGCCCATCAAGGGGTACAGGGGATTTTTAAAAAGGTGCTTCAGAAGCTACATTTCATATGTTCTCTGGTTGGAGTTGTCCCAAATGCTTTATTTGAATTTAAGTGTAAAGTTTCTACTATGTGTAAAATATTACAGGTGATACACAAACAAGTGGATTTCTCCTACTGTCAAATATATAAAGAATATAAAAGTTGGTGTTCRTGTAAGTACTCTGTTTTGATCAGCACACATTATATACTTATTAAAACAGCATACTATACTATTTTAGTACTATGAATTTGTATTATTMGTTCTGAATTTAAAAAAAAGCCCTGAATTTATGGGGCCAAAGCCAAGCTAAGAATAAAGCAGATCATATAAGTACATATAAGACAAACTATTTTCTGAGTTCTAAATAGAGAGGGACAGAGTACTTTTGGGCTTGAGGGAAAAAAAAATCAGGTTTTGGTAAACAAAGGCTTTGTGAGGAAATAGCATTTTAGGTTGTAGAAGATGATCCTACTGAAGGAGGAGTGGTAGTAAAACACTGGTGAAGGTGAGTGTTAACAGAGATATTGAGATAGACAATAGGGAGGGTTGGACATGTATGGTGGTGAATGAGACATAAACCTTTTTTGATAAATTGGGGTCTCAAGAGGGATTTTATATCATTGCAAAATGTATCTTAAATAATATGAGAGTAATAGCTACTGCTATTACAATAATAGCTACTGCTTATTGTTTGTTAAACTTAAGTGAGGCCCTTTGTTAGATGCARAGCATATATAATCTAGAATCTTTTATAGTAGTTTCCAAAATAGATGCTTTTCATTTTGTAAATAAAAAAAAATGAAGCCTAAAGAGGATATATAATCTATACAGCCCCTAATAGCAGGTAAGATGAAATTAAAAACTGTTACTATGTGATTCCTAAAACTCCAACAGAATACCTTTGCTCTAAAATACTGGGATTGATACTGGTCTATTAATTGAAAAAATTATCAGTTAATATAGAGGATTATAAAATAATCCTACATATTTTAAATATAATACAACTAACATTTCCCAATGTTTGCATCAGTACTATTTCCTTTAGTAGGAATTTTCTGATTGACATTCCAAGAACTTTAAGATCTTTCATAAGCTATTTGAATATAGCATCTGTCTGGATAGGTGGTTTTCTTTTTCTTTYTTTTTTTTTTTATGATACTGGGGATTGAAACCAGGGCCTTGTGCATGTGAGGCAAGCACTCTACCAACTGAGCTACATCCCCAGGCCCCTGGATAGATGGTTCTTAAAGTGGATCATCAGCATCAGCCTCAGCATCAGCTGATAATTTGTCCCATCCTATTTCTACTGAATCAACAGTTCTGAGAGTGGGACCCAGCAATCTGGGTTTTAACAAGCSTTTTGGATGATTATGGTAAGAAGAGAAAGAGAAGAATAGAGGAAGAATTTATAGGATTATAGAACTTGCTAACTAATTGGATATAAGATGCAATGGAGAAGACTGTTGTTAAAACTGAGACTTTATATACAGTTGTCTGTTTAAATAATGATGGCAGAAATAACAGAAATATGTAAATTGGAGAGAAGGTGGTTTGTGAGTGGGTGGGTAGGATGATATATTTGGCTTGTGCTACAGCTGGACCTGGTGCTCAGGCCTTTTTGACTCTGAGCCTGTACTTTTACTATAATACCACATAGCTTCATGTCAAGTATCTCTACTTTATTATTAAGGCCTGGAGTGTCTCTGTCAGGCCTGCCACTTACAGTACTGAGGCTGCCATGGGGGTTCCAGGAAGCAGCAATGTGTTTAGGGATAATCAGAACTGAGTAAAATAGAGAATCTCAATCAGAAACAGTGTGGAAGATGAAATCCTTTTGCTATTTTGCTAAGTTGGCTGTTCTTTATAGGCATCAGTCATTTAATAAATAGTGGACTGAAAACTATATGGTGAATACCATAAAGGGCTCATGAATGTAGGAAGTAAATTATTCAGGATCTCCTTGATCTTCTTAACTACACATATATGAGGCTCTTATTCAATTACATGTCTTGTGKATTGTGACATTTACAAAATTGACTCATTCTAAATTAGCTTTGTCATTTGAGAGGCTGTAGAAATGTTAACATTTCTAAATATGATGTTAATCTTAATTATTGTCCTTTACTTTTAGTAAATGTTTCATAAAATAATTCTTTGTAGAACTTTATTTTCTCATATTTTCTAGATTGTTTGAATTTACAAACTAATTTTAATATTAACATCAGCCTAACTATATGAAGAAAAATATCCAGTATATTGAATTATGTGGGATACTTCTCTCTATAAAAATAGATAAGAACTTTTTAGGTGGTATTTAATTCAATTACTACTTTAAAAATATACACAAAAACTTTCTGTTTTAGTGATGGGAACATAACTTTTTCCTATTTATTCTTTCATAATTCCTGTTTCYTAGTTAAGTTTTTATCAGCCTGAATAATTATCCAACAACTGCATTACCTTCTTTTCAATATCACATGTCAGACATAAGAGCATAAAGAAGAAATGAGGTACTAGGTTTGGGATGCCTCTAAGATTTGCTTCTCCTTCTGTGACATTAGCTTCCCTCCCCAAGGTTATTTTTATTTTATTTTTTTTAAGAAAGGAGAAACTAAAGTTTATTTTTTAATTTTTTAAATTATTAGTTGTTCAAAACATTACAAAGCTCTTGACATATCATATTTCATACATTTGATTCAAGCGGATTATGAACTCCCATTTTTACCCCGTATACAGATTGCAGACCCAAGGTCATTTTTAAATCATGATCTTTGCTAAGTATCTCAGAAAAAAACAAAGCAAAACAAAATTCTCGATAAGCTGAATGATTTATAATGAATGATCAATTTAATTCTAGTTTAAGGTAAGAAATCTGTATATGTTATAGACTTTTCTGTACTAACTTTTTTTTCTGGATGTTATTAATAATTGAACTTCTATACCAAATTTATTTTCTAAATATTTCTTTCAGCTATGAATTTGTGAAATACCTTAGACAGCACATATGCAACACTTTGGGATCTATTATTGAAGAAGAAATGGAAAAATGCATATCTGATCAGAATCAGAGTGAGGAATCWGGCTATGACACTCTTGTACAGCATGTTGCTAGAAAAATTCACTACTCTAAAGAGTGAGTATGCCCCTGGTAATATTTTAAAGTAACTTTTCTTTCAACTGGRCTTTGAGATAGCATTACTAACCCATCTCTATCCCTGCCCAAAAATCTKTTTCCCACATAGCACCTCTTAGCAGCCAAAATGATGCTTTAAAACAGTGAATCAGTGTGTGACACTGTCTCATTCAGAACTCTCCACAAGCTTCCCATTTTCTTCAGAGTAAAATGCAGAGGTCTTTCTGTAGGCAACCAGAACCACCATCAGCCTTCTCCCTGTCTTCCTTACTTGTTACCATGTGTCCCCTCTTACTGCACCAGCTATCTCATCTTGCTCTTTCTTAGCAAGCGAACTAGGCCATCCCTCAGCAATTTGAACTCTTGCTGCTTCTGTTATCTAGATTGCCTTTCCCTAAATATTTGTATGACTTGCTCCTTCACATTTTTGGGGTCTTAGTCTTCTTTTTGGAGCTCTTTGTTCACCTCTCTGCTTAAGTCAGTATTTTTCCTGTTACTTTCTTTCTCTCTCACTTTCCTTAATTTTCCTTTTAGCTCTTTTGTCATACTGTTTTATGAAGGATTAAATGTGCTTCCAAGCTTTACAAAGATAAAATTAAATTGGATTAAATCCAAGCTTTACAAAGATAATTTTATCTTTTGTTTCTATAACCTAATGCTTAGAAAATGACTGATACATTCTAGGTGCTTAATTGGTATTTGTTGAAGGAATTAATAAAGTATCTTTTGCCAGAATAATCAGTTTTCTGTATGGATTATTGTGGTTTAGATGTAGTGTGTTCCCCAATGGTGTTGGAACTTTGGTCACCAATGAGGTAGTATTAAGAGGAGATAGAGCATTCAAGAGGTGGGGCTTAGTTGCAGGGTAATTAGGTTATTTTGGATGCTGCCTTCAGAAGGGAATAAGGAAGTTTTTATGGGATCCTATATCTGTAGGGAGAGAGTTGTCATAGAAGAACAAGACTGGCCCCCCTCCACTCTCTGGCTTCCTTTTTTGCCATATGATTCCTGTTTCATGCACTCTGACCATTGTGATATCATCTACCAAGAGGTATTTATTAAAGCAGAAGCCTGTGCCAAGATCTTGAGCCTCCAAAATTGAAAAATATAAACTTCTTTTCTTTACAAAGTACCTAGCCTCAGGTATTATTATCATAGAGGAAAACAGTCTAATACACTGATATTTGAAATAATTCTGGCTTTAACAATAATTTTTTTCTTTCCCCTTATCAACCTTAGACTCATCACATATTTAATGAGTAACTACTATATATTATATGTTAGATCCTGGAGCTATAAAGATGGATAAGATGTTTTCTACTTTTCTATAATCCATAGCATAATGGGGAGTTTTGATATTACACTGCAATAGAAACTTGAATAATTTTTTTATATGATAGTTTTTTATGTGATAATGCAGAAGTATTTGCATACAGGGAGGGTAGGTGGATCTGCTCAATGGATTCATGTAAGGTCCCAGGTTCCTTTTATTTTGTCATTACCTCATACCCTATGGCAGGGGTTGGTAAGGGCCATCTAATAATTATTTTAGGCCTTTCCAGCTGTTGTAGTATGAAAATTCCATAGATGATATATAAATGTGTATGTGTGCCTATAAAACTTTATTTTCAAAACTAAGTGAAAAGTCAGTTTAGGTTCATAGGACATATTTTGCCCACCATAGTATCAGAGACATTGGCATATGTACTTGATCTTATGTTATCTACTTCATTTAAAATATTAAATCTGACTTATTTTTTACAACCTCTATATTCTTTTTAAAAAATTTTTTAGTTGTAGAGGGATATAATACCTTTATTTTATTTTTTTATTTTTGTGTGGTGCTGAGGATCAAACCCAGTGCCTCACATGTGCTAGGCAAGTGCTTTAGCATTGAGCTACAACTCCAGCCCAAATCTGACTTATAATTAATAAATTTTTAACAATAAGTTTGGACAGGATCTCTTCCTCTTTGTAACAACTGATTTCATTGTTTAAATAAATGTGTTATTACTTGAGCAAAGTGATAGTGTATAGGTATAAATACATTTAGTAAATTTATCCTTCTAATGTATGTCACATAAAACCATACAGATTAAGGTTTATTTCTTGACTTGGAGAAAAAACAAAAATGTATCTGTCTTTTGGATATTATAATTCCTAGTAGCTTGTTGCTAGAAGTCTTATTAAACTTATACTAAAAGGAATACTAAAATACTTTATTAGATAATTAAAGTATTTTATTGATAAGAATAGAGTTTTATATGATACTGTTAGGAAATTACTTTTTTATATCTGGATAAACTATTTAATTTTCTTGTGTTTTAGTTCACCCTTGTGTAAAAATTAATACAATAATAACTACTTTACAAAGATTTTAAATGACTTAATGATTGTTTGACTTGTGCTTTATGAACCATGGATGAAAGACTTTAAATTGTACAGTGTATTATTTTCTTTCAATTKTTTTGGTGATTCTTTAGCAATTACTTAGGGCTAATGTGGCAATAGTGCATCTATTAACAACATTTTTACTGAAATGATTACAAAGTGTTTTCCTAAGTTAACATTTTGTTATTTGCCTTTTAAATAGATGTTTGCACATGGAAGAATTCATTTGTATGCCCTGTCATATATTACTTATATAGTGAGTGGACATACTTACCGTGTAGATTTTTGTTGTTGATTGGTGTGCTTTTTATATGGGAGCTTTGTCTTCCTGTAGTCCTTATTTTATAGTTCTTGAAGGATTAAGGGTATTTACTTAGTGGTATTTACAGTCTATCCTGGATCTGTTTTTTATTAGCTCTTCCAAAGCTGCAATGGCTCCTGTTCATTTAACTCTTAATTTTGAAGTGCTCTAGTTTTTTTTTTTTTTTTTTTTTTTTGGTGGTGCTAAGGATTGAACCCAGGGCCTTGTGAGTGCAAGGCAAGCACTCTTCCAACTGAGCTATAACCCCAGCTGCTAGTTACTTTTAATTCATTAATAAATTATTACTCTTTTTTTCCCTCTGGCCATTTTTGTTGGTATTAATTTCAGAAGAATTTGTTTGTCTTTGTAAGAAGATATGTTGAAAACATTTATATCTAAATCAAATTTCAGTTTTTTAATGGATTTTAATCACCCTTAATCTTACTCTCTATATCACTGAGATTTATTTTTATAGTTCTTGATTAAATCACAAAACTTTAAGGGACAGGAACTTTATATTCACACAGCCAGACCTAACTGCAAAGGAGGCTGGACAGTGTAATTTTAACTATAGTCCAATTACTGTGGAAGGAGAGAGCAACTTTTGGTGGATAGGTATTGATAGCTATCAGGGCATATTTTGTTTCCCTGTTTATTGCTGCCCAGACTCTAAGAGGGGGAAACTGGGCCTTTTGTCTCAGTAATCCTATATATATGTTGTTTTCAGTTTAGTCTAATGAGTGTCTCAGAACTCYATTTTGCATTTTATATCCCTTTACCTTTAACTAGTAAATTCCCTAAACTCTTACCTCTATTACATTACTTTTCTATATGTCACCGCCTCATACCCCTCCCTATATTGTTCCTAACCTACTTTCATTACTTTTTGTGTTTCTCATGATTTCTGGTAATTTAGAAATATATATTATATAAAGTTGCTTATAGCTCTGTATTATATACACATATTGTTAAATCTATATTAAATAYATTTTTATTTAATTATATATTATACAAATTATACATTTTTATATAGATATGTGATTTCTAAAATATATAATTTAAAATGTGGGTTAGTCAGGTTTCCTTCCTGCAAAACATATGTGAGATTGATCTGCTTATAAACAGAAAAGGTTTATTTTGGTTTATAGTTTTGGAGGTTTCAGTCCATGGTTGATTGGCCCTGTTGCTTTTAGTCCTRTGTTGAAGCAGTATATCATGGTGGGCACACATAGTGAGGAAGCCCATTCACCTTAAGGCTGGAAGCAAAGAAGTGAGAGCAATTGACCAGGGTCCCCCATTCCTTTCAAGGGTTAGGGTTAGGGTTAGGGTGACCTAAGACTTCCAGCTATGCCCCACCTCTTATAGGTTCCACTATCCCCTGATTGTGCCATCGATGGTGATCAAGCAAGCCTTTAACACATAGGCCTTTGGTGGTGTTGGAAAAATGTGTCTTATGAATGTATATGATAATTGCCCCCAAAGTGGGGGCTGGGGATGGAGTTTATTGGTAGGCACTTGTCTAGCATGCATGAGGCCCTGGGTTTGATCACTAGCACTGCCAAACAAATAAAATTTCAATCTATTATTTYTATTCAAATTCCTTAGCCTAGCTTTTTTTTTTTTTAATTTTAATTTCTTATTCATTCTTTTTAGTTAGACCTAGGCTGGCTTTATTGCTCTTGTGAGATAGAGTATTTATTTTCCCTTTGATGAATGCAATTACAGTGACCACTTGACCAGATTTATAAGTAAAAAAGTTTTTTGCTGTGCTTATTTTCCTCATGTATTTCCCTTATTATAATGACAAATACGTGTCTAGAGCTTTATAGTTTCAAAGCCTTTTCAGATATTTATTTTCATTTATTTATTGCCATGCTATATGAAATAGTTTAGCCAGATTGTATTCATTTTATGTCCTTTTATAGCTGAGGAAATTGAGACTTTTTTTATATGAAGTCAGAACTGGTTGGCAAATGAGTTAGGATTACAATACAGAATTTCTAATTATAAATTTAGTATTCACTGTGTTTATATATAAATCTTTGTGCCTTTTTTGTTTTAAATACAGAAATGTCATTGTTCCAGGTCACACATTCTTCATTTGTGAAATAAAGGCTGGACTTTATGGTTCTTTCTAGATCTAAAATTCTACTTCTAGGGCTTTTTGGGATCTCAGCTTAAAATTAACATGAATACTTGAGAGGTTTTACTTGAATTATAGAGTAATTTATTGTGAGTTGTTTTTCAAGATTTTAAGACCATTAGAGTGGAAAGAGATCTTAGAAGTTATCCAGTTCAAACTGTTGTCATCTTCAGAAATCCCTTTCCTAACATTCCTGTTAATGGATTCTCCAGCTTGTGTTTGAAAGGACCCTAAGACAGCCACATTCTTACCTTGGTCTTGAAGTAGGCCTTAGGTATGAAGGAGGTATGAAGTACAGATAAGAGAAAGGAAGAACAAATAAAGGAAAGTAGGATAGAGAAAGAGATAAGACTAGGGATAAAGGTGAAGTGTAAAATAATTTTGAGTTTTGGTAAGGCTATTAACAGTTTATCTTGTTGCTAGTAATTTGAACACATATCATCGGAACATATTGCCTGAGATATCTTGACTTTGTTGTGTTGGTTTATATAACTAGATGAAAACCCATGAAATAGCACTTTTTGGATTCCCTATTAATTTTTATTCTTTTCTTGTTATATCTGTTTTTTTTCTGTAAGAAATATTAAGTTTTTTGTTTTCACTGTGCCATTAAAGGGGCTTTCTTTTTTTTTTAATAGAGAAAATAATCAGGTAGTTTAACTTAAGTGACTTTTAATTTCTGTTGATAATCTTCTCTTATTAAGACTACTTTGAATTTGAAGGTATAAAGAAATCATGTGTTCCCTGAATAATGTTATGATGGTAGTGGTGGAGTCTATGATTAACAAGTTTGAAGAAGATGAAATACGAAGTCAGGAGAGGCAGAAAAAAGTCCAAGTGGAGAAGAGCAGTAGTTACTGCACAGATAATTGTTCTGATAGTGATTCATCATTCAATCAGGTGGGTTGTTCAGTTTTGTATTTATATTTGGAAATGGTGTTTAATAATCACTAGCTTCAATAAATTTATTAGCCAGATTTTATACTTTCTAACTTAAAGATTCAGAAGAAAAATAAAGAACAAAATAACCTAGTAGTAAAGATTTAGTTCATGAAATACCACCTTATAGAATTATGTTTTGTGAATAGTTGTGTCATGTCTGAGATAATTCTTAATGAGGTGAAAAAATTAATCTTAGATTTTTTAGTAGTAAGAGTTGAAACAAATTAAGCTTTAGTTCAAACATCTTATTCTTAATTAATCCTTATTAAAGTTTAAATTATATTATGTGATAGAGATAAAACATTTCTCCTGTACGTTTTCTGAAATGATGATTACTATGAATTCTTACCTTTAAAACATTAAACTTTTTTTAGTGTTAAAATATTTGAGATTTTACATTTTATCCAACCAGGGTCTGAGGCACCTTGTCATTTGGCCACAGTAAAGATAAGAGAAAGGCCTATGGCTATATTAGCCCTAATAGAAAACAAGGAAAACTAGACTAGAGCCCATGTGCAAGGAACTTCCACACATCGACTTTTAGGCCAAAAGAAGTCTGACTGACTAGGGGTGTAATTAAGTTGTAGAGTCCTTGCCTGAAATGTGTGAGGACCTGGGTTCAATCTCTGTGTCTGCAAAGCCTATTTGACCTTAGTGTAGTCCTAACTGATGGAGGGAAATATTGACACCTAATTAGCTCTACCTTAAAGACATAATTACAAAGTAGATCCTAACCATATTCCAGAAAATGATTTGAGAAGTTTGGATGAAACATGAAAAAAATCGTCTGTATTGGTCACAGTTGGGACTTCATGATTGAAGGAAAAAATGGTTCTTTAAGTATTTGAAGCAGAACTTAAAGGTTGCTGTGCTTTAGCTACTATTGCATCTTAGCAGGAGAGATTGTGCTGAGTTGTGAACTTTACAAGTCAGGTTGGTTATGTGATGTGATGCAAGATGTGACAAGACTGTGAATTTTCTTCATGCCCAAATCATTCCTTGCTGATGGATTAACTGGAAAAAGGTGGGGTATAGAGATTTTAATTTATTGCAATCAAATGAGTGGTTTAATAGATTTGCTGAGCTGCTTCTTCAGATCAAAGACTTTTTGGAATTGAAAGAGGAAACCCAACTTTAGAACTCAGGTTATTAGTAAGATGTGCTGACTTATTTGGTGAACTGTATGACTAAACTGACATTGGACCCACAACTGAAAAAAAACTGGAGCGTTATTAATTTCAAGAAGTACAAGTATTTAGATCTAAATAAGCTTGATTGAGTTAGCTAGGAGTTAAGCTATTTTAATTCTCAAATATTAAATTATTTCTAGTTRTTAGAATCATAGGTTTTTGAAGAAATGTAAAGCTGTGTTGGAAATAAAGCCATCATTTTAGAATAGATTCCTATCTTTTGTTTTGTTTTGATTCTTAAGACATCATGCTTTAAGTTTCTGTGTCTTTGTTTGGGATGTCCACAGGTTATAAGTTTTCAGTTTGTGCCCTATGAAGATGACTATTTCAGAAGGGACTAATTGAGTTGAAAATGAATTCTGCCCATTAAGAAAGCATGGGATGGGTTGGGGACATAGCTCAGTTTGGAAGAGTGCTTGCCTTGCATGCACAAGGCCCTGGGTTCAATCCCCAGTACTAAGAAAAAAAAAAAGAAGGCATGGGATGCCTTGACTTTTGGGAAGAAATGTATGAGTGCTAGAACATTCTGGAAAGCTCTTTCAGTGTGGGCAAACTCTTAAGAGATATTTGGGTATGCCTTTACTTACCAGTAAAGAGACTTTCTTGTAATTGATTGGAGAGGCTGAGTGAATATGTTAAGAATTGAAAAGGAGTTTAAAAATATAATAGTCATTCATTCTGAAATCAAGAATTGAGGCCAGAACTTATGCCTGACTCCATATATTCATCTTGATATGACCCTGTCTTCCACATTATCAGGTGAAATATGTTTTTTTTTTATTCCCATGATATTAGTGATCAACAAGTGGGCCTCTGGGCAGCTACCCTCTCCATTGTATAGTATGTCCAGGAATTGCCTGTGAGCAAACTAATCAGTGATGAGAATAGCCTAAGGAAATAAGGATATTTTTTCTTGAGATTTGCAGTGAAAAGCATCTTGTGAGTAGGTGATTAGGAACAATGTGCATCATTTGGCCACAGACCTCCACCTATGAGAAAGGTACCCATCAGTCCATGATTACCCATGCTTTTATAAACTTTCCCTAAATTAGCCACCCTGTAAGTTAGCACTTTAGGATGAGATGGTCCTCCATTTTCCCGTCAGCTAGCTTATCATAATACAATCYTCTCTCCACCCTTTGCCTTTCTACTTTAGATTCCATGCTGTAATGAGGTGACCTAGCCTCTGTGTGGTAACAATTCCATTAAATGCTGACCTTACTGATTCCTTCAAAATTGTTACTTGATCTGAACTTTAAAAAAGTCTGAATTTTTCTGTGGATAACATTTTATTCATAATTTTGATGTTGTTATTTTGATACCACTTGCATTTTGTGAAAACGTCTTTTATTTCATTATTATTTTAAAATCTGCAACCTGAATATATATGAATTTTCGATTCATTTTTTGAAAAACAGCAGTGTATYAGTATATGTTGGAGGATATTTAAGAATAGCGGGGAGATCCTGGTTTTTATCATTAGATGTAAATGAGCAATGGATTTAGTATTGTGCTTAAAACTGAAGACAATGCTTTAAAGTTAAAAGTGTCATTACTATCTATCTGTTGTTGGGGCTACTGCCATGCAGTGGTCCCTGTGCTTGTCTTTATATTCATTATAGGAGTTACTAGTTCTTCACAGGAAAAAGTGAGGCTTAATAGGTGAGTAATTTGCCTAAATTTGAATTGCTAAGTTAGGAATRGATCTTGAATTAGGACTGGCTTCTCTCCCTCCAAAGTCTGTTCACCTTATTTTTTGCCACACTTTATAGGGTTGGTTGCTTTGAGAATTTAATGATTTAATAGAAATCATTTTGAACAATAGCTGGCRTGTATTAAGCCCTTATAATAGTGTTTGCTTATTATCATTGTCATCAGAATTATGTGGTCTTGTCTTTTTAAAGAATAGAAAAGAAGTTGCTAGGCACGGTAATGCATATCTGTAGTCCCAGCACTTTGGGAGGCTGGGGAAGGAGAAGTGAGAGTTCAGAATCACCCTCAGCAGCTTATTGAGGCCTTAAGCAATTCAGTGAGACCCTGTCTCTAAATAAAAATATAAAAAATGGCTGGGGATGTGGCTCSGTGTTTAAGTGCTGTTGGGCTCAATCCCTGGTACCAAAAAAAACCCAAAACATATTAAAGCATGAGTTATCATTAGGCCTAATAATTATATATTTATCATTTTTAATTTCTATATTGGTATTGTTTGGACAACAACAATAGATATATTTTTTGACCAGTTATATGTTTAATGGCTTATATAGTTTGCATACCCATACATTTAAGATAGAAGAAATTTCCAGAGTAAATTTTAATTATGAGGGTGATTTAATTTTTTTAAAATCTAAAGTGTAGTAATTGAACAAAGTGAATATTTTTCAGTATGTGTTGTAACCAAGTAAGTGACTACAAAATATGTGTAAAAAACCAGAATGAGTGTTCTATTTGCAGTCTTTATGTATCCTGCATCTGACAGACATGTATCCAAAAGGAATATTTAAAACAACTGAAATGTGTTCATGTGAACACATTGTCTGTCTKTGCTAGTTAAATTGCCATAACAGTTAACTGCAATTGTATATTTATGTCTGTTAGCTTACAAACAATAATATAAAAAAGATTATAGCATAGGTCACCTTTAAGATAGGTATTAGACTCATTTTGATGTCTCATGTAATAAAAATTATTTCATTACTTAAAAATAATTTTAAAGAGAATTTTGTAATTATGTTTAAGAAGATAACTGAAGGGATGAGTAGTTTGAGGCTATTCCAACTACATAAGCATTAAAGTTTATGCTTTATTTTCCTGTGGTGTTGGAGATCAAACCCAGGGCCTCACACTGAGTTAGGCAAGCACTCTGTACCCCAGGAAATGATTGTGGATCATCATGATCTACTCGAAGTCAAAGAACTGGGTAAGAACACCTCAGGATAACATAGATAATGAAAAGAGAGGGCCCTAATATAGGTGCGAATGTGCCTTCTGATAATTTTGTGACCTGGAGAAGTAATTTAACCTCTTTGGCTTTCATTTTTCTCATATTTCAGAGACTTTGTAAATTGAGGTAGAATAGTGCTTGCTACATAATAGATATGAAATTACAATTGTTAATATTATTTTTGTTATTTTTAGAGATCTTTTAATATGTGTATTTAAACTGTTTTAGGGAAAAAGACTTTTTCTTTCAAAATAGCTTATGTTCTATGAACTTTTTTCTAAATGTTAATTTTTACTTCAGGAATTTTTTCACAAAAGAACTATGGAAAAATGCTAAGAAAAGCATAGGAAAGGGAACACAAAGTTCAATCAGGGTTATAGCTATGTGTAGGTACTATTTGTGCCTTTTTATTAATGTGGTTTTATTTTTCTGTTTTGTTCATCACACAATTCTGGGTATACAAGATTCTGGTTATTATTTTTTTATCTTATAATATTCTACACATTGCAATTGCTTATCAAATAATAACTGTCATATACAGGAAGGTACACTGTTCTACTGGGACATTGAATTCTCATTAAAACCTCGGGAAACAGGATTCCAAGTTTGCTGCCAAGTCAAAATAGATCAATCTTTTCTCTTGTTCAGAATGCATACTGTGCTGGAAATTATGTTAACGATCATTTATAGCAGTAGTTCTGAAAGTCTATGGAATTCCTGTGTGTTCTGTTGATTGTGTTACAGAGTTACAAATTTTGTCAAGGAAAATTACAATTGATTTTAGACCAGCTGGATCCTGGGCAACCCAAAGAGGTAAGTTTTAAGGACAGCTGTCAAATTTAGTCAGATACCATATATCTATTTATTTATTTTAAATTTTAATTTGTTTTAATTAGTTATACATGACAGTAGACTGCATTTATGCACTTTGTTATATATATATATATATATATATATATATATGATATAATTTCTCATTTTTCTGAGTGTACATGTTGTAAAATCACATTGGTCATGCAGTCACACATATACATAAAGCAATAATGTCATTTCTGTTTCGTTTTACTATCCTTCCTATCCCCTCATCCTGTCTCCTCCCCTCCCTTCACTTCCCTCTACCTAATCTAAGGTAACYCTATTCTTTTCTAGTGTCCCCCACCCCAGCCCCTTAGTGTGAATTAGCATCTGCATATTAGAGAAAACATTTGGCCTTTGGTTTTTTGGGGATTGGCTTATTTTGCTTAGCATGATATGCTCCAACTCCATCCATTTATTGGCAAATGCCATAATTTCATTCTTTAAAGCTGAGTAATATTCCATTGAMTATATATACCACATTTTCTTTATCCAATCATCTATTGAAGGACACCTAGGTCGGTTACATAGTTTACCTATTGTGAATTGATCTGCTATAAATATTGAGGTGGCTCCATTACTGTTGTATGCTGATTTTAAGTCCCTTGGGTGTAGATCGAGGAGTGAGATAGCTGGGTCAAATGAAGGTTCCATTCCAAGTTTTCTGAGGAATCTCCATAATGATTTGCATAATGGTTGCACCAATTTGCCGTCCCACCAGCAATGTATGCATGTACTTTTTTCCCCACATCCTTGCCAACATTTATTGTTGCTTGTAGTCTTTATAATTGCCATTCTGACAGGAGTGAGAAGAAATCTTAGAGTAGTTTTGATTTGTATTTCTCTAATTGCTAGTGAAGTTGAACATTTTTTCATATATTTGTTCATCAATTGTATTTCTTCTTCTGGGAAGTGACTGTTCAGTTCCTTAGCCCATTTATTGATTGGGTTATTTGTCTTTTTGCTGTTACATTTTTTGAGTTCTTTATATATCCTAGAGATTCATGCTTTATTGGAGGGGCAATAAAGATTTTCTCCCAATCTGTAGGCTCTTTTCTCACATTATTGTTTCCTTTGCTGAGAAGAAAAGGACTTTAGAGGTCTTGTTAATGAAGTCAGATCCTAGGCCRACATGGTGAAGATTTGTGCCTAACTGACCTGTTAGGTGCAGGTCTGTTCTAGTGCCTAAGTCTTTGATCCTCTTTGAGTTGATTTTTGTGCAAGGTGAGAGATAAAAGTTTAATTTCATTTTGCTACAKATGGATTTTATCCAGTTTTGCCAGCACCATTTGTTGAATGCACTATCTTTTCTCCAGTGAATTCTTAGAGGTAAATGAAAACACTGATACAACATATCAAAATCTTTGGGACAGTGTGAAGGCAATACTAAGAAAAATGTTTATTACATTGAGTGCATTCATTAAAAGAATAAAAAGTCAACAAATAAATGACCTAATACTACATCTCAAAGCCCTAGAGAAAAAAGAAAATCAGATATTATATATTTATAATATACTAGATTACAGTCAGCAGCTGGGTTCTTTCTCTTGAGGCTGGGTTTTTATTTATTGTTATGATCAATTCTAGGCTAATATCCCTAGTAAACTTCAATTTTGGAATGAAAGGTCACAGAATAAGGCATATATTCTTTAAAAAATTGTCATGGTTTGTTAGAGAAAATCTTTTTTTTCCCCCCAGCTTTCATTGGTAAGAAATTAAGTTACGAGTAATTGTCCTTAAATTGTTCCTTTACTGTTGTTTTGTATGCAATATTTTCGTTATTGATTTGCTAGGAATTAATTTATTTTATGATTTTTTTATTTCTAGAAAATGTGAGTAAACATTTAAAAAAATTTAATAGACAAATTTTATATTTATCATGTATGACATGTTTTAAAATATATATTKACTTAATAGTTAAAAAATTGATCTCGTTAATATAAGTATTATGATTTTTTTTGGTGAGAAAAGTTAAACTCTGCCTAGTGATTTTCAAGAAAATAATACATATTTATGTTGTCACAGTGTTGTATAATAAATCTCTTGAACTTATTTCTTCTAACTGAAATTTTGTATTTGACCAATATCTTCACAATCCCTGCACTGAGACTTTGACAATTTAAGTTTTTTTAAGAAGTAATTGTGTATTGAGTTATGTTTAWACTTAAGAGATTTTATCTGCTCTTTATGATATATTATTTCATTTGAAAATCAATCTGAAGTAGAAATACAATAGGATATTTAAAAAAATTAACTAAGACTTTTGTGTATATGCCATTTAGTTATAATTTTGGAAATGAATTATTTTTTTCAAACTTTACATTTTAAATGAAATGTATTGTTATTTACTCCCACTGAAATTTTCTAAGAAATCACTGAGGAATAATTTTTTTCTGTTCAGCATTTTGCATYGTTTTTTTTTCTTGGATCTTAAATAACAGGTAAATAACAGGTTTGAAAAGATATTGGAAATGAGATTTGACTTTTATATGATAAATCTTAACTTTCTACTGTTTAAATGGATTACTTTGAAATCTATAGTTGTTCATTAATTTTTATTCTGCTTCTGGAATACTAAATTCTTAATAGTATTTTGTTCTAAAATTTATTGAAAAGAGGATACTACTTAACATTATAAGTGAATTCTTAATTTTTAAAACTTCACATTCCCCTAATACTTGTCAGAAATAAAAGTATATTTAGGAGTTATTGCATATGAGTATATAGATATTTTCAGATACTTGTGTATTCTGTATTTTTTTATCTAGAAAGTTATGAATGTCTCAATTTGGCTCCTGTCTCTGATGCCTCGCCTTCACTTATGACTTCACTTATGACTTCACTAGGCTTCAGTTTTTCAGTTGGGAAAGGACCAGATTTTAAGGATTAGGTTGGAATTACTGTGTTATTCTTCATTAGCTGGACTGTGAATAGGAGAGATGCTTTGCCCCGTTTGTCATCATCAGAGTGGAGCTATTCTCTGCTGCTGTCCCTTGGGTCATACTGTTTTGAGTGAATTCTGATTGGATTTTGAGAAGACTGATTACAAAGCAAACTTTTTGTGAAAATACAGAAATTCAATTTTGCATTCCATTGCTGAATTTTCCCCCCTATTTCAGTAGTTAGAAGGTCAGAAAATATGGTCTAGCACAAAAAAGTTCAAATGAATTGTTTATGAGAATTGTTCACATGTTCTGGAATGGAAATGTGTCACCAGGGGCATATCTAGGAAATGTTTTAAAATCAAAGCCCTCAACTGCAGAAGCACCTGTGTGGACTTTACTAGAATTGGGAAAATCTGTGGGGTGAGGCCAATAAAACATTGCATTGGTGATTCTGATTCAACCACTTTTCTTCTTTCTATTCTACTTAGACATGAAATCTAAGTCTCCTAGTTCAGTTAGTGTTTAAATTTTCTTTGTGCAAAACAGCACCCTCCCTCCCCTGATTAGTGATTAATTTACAAAATGAATTAATTCTCAAGAGTTACCTGATAAAAGTGTATTATTTTCTCATAAATGGCTTTTTAAAATRATTATTCARATTCTGGCTTTGAAGAATTTTTTAATATTGTCTTGAAAAATTGGAATTATTCTAGTGGCTAACCATTAATAAAAATTTTTCTTTTAAAAAATTTTAGGTGAAATATGATGCCTTACAAACATTATGTTCAGCTCCTCCATCTGATGTCCTGAACTGTGAAAATTGGACTACTCTCTGTGAAAAATTGACATTGTGTCTTTCAGATCCTGATCCTGTGTTTAGTGTAAGAAAATAAATAAATATTTTTAGAAATTCCTGTTTTCCCAACTAGAACTAAATGGAATGTGAGATTTTTTTTTGATAGCACAAATATTTATGGAATTTTGGTTACAGCTTTTCAGATTGTCAAAATTTCTTTTTCAGTAATTAACTTAATACTTAATAATTAGATTCAAAGTATGGTCGCCATCATACTTTATTGCCAAATAATATCCTGTTATCTTGTGTATTTTGTCTTATCCTGTGAAAGATACCCAAGTATTTGGGTTATTATTTTTGAATTAAGATTAATATTTTAAGGGCTCATAATAAATGATTATTATGAATAATTAAAGTGATTAATAGGATAGATTCTAAAGTGTCATATGATTTTCCTCCTGCATTTAAGCATTTATTTGGAGGCTGTCTAAAACAGAGAAGCCAGAAAATTATAAAGCTTAGAGGTTAGAAAATAAATTGAAATTACTCATAAAACAAATGTCAAAAAATCCCTAAAATTATAAAATGGAGTCAGTAGAGATACGATTGATTTTTGCAAAAATCAAAATGCATATGACTTTTCAGGAATGCAAATTATTATATGATGAAAAGTAAGCTTATCCTAAGTGCTATAATTCTACAGATAGTGATATAATGTGAATAAAAAAATCCTGACTTATCAAGCATCAGGATTAAATACAAATTGGAGTTTTTAAATAATAGGATCTTTTTCTTCATATTGATGGGTTGAAGAAAGCTTTGTTTTAAAAATTGGTATTTTTTTTTGTATAGAATTTAAGGCATTACCATAAGAGCAACATTTTTCTATTTGTTTAAGGAATTTGTATTGAATATATACAGTGTGCATGTTTTAGTCAGCTTTTCACTGCTATAAACAGAAGATCTGACAAAAACAATTTTAGAGGAAGTAAAGTTTATTGGGACATAAAGTTTCAGAGGGCTCAGTCCATAGCTGCCTGGCTCCATTGCTCTGGGCCCAAAGTGTGGCAGAATATAGCAAGGCAGAAGAGTGGGTTGGAGGAAAGCGAATCAGTTAAAAATCATARCCCAGTCATTTTACCTCTAAGCTTTCTTGTATTGTCTCACATATGGACTTTGAGCCAAAACCTCATATCTAAACTATAACAGTGCATCATTCCAGTTTAGATGCTGGTAATTTACCATGAACAAGGTAGAACAAGTCTTTCCTCTATGGAATGTGCATTCTAGTAAAGAGCATAGACAGTAAACAGATAGTATGGAAAAATATAAGGTATCTTAACACATTTATCAGCTTAAGGACATCAATATTTAATTATATTATTAATAATAATTAATTGATAAACAGAAGTGGTTTGGGAACCATCTTTGTTATTCTTATCAGAGAAAAAAGATGTTTACCTCATACTTGGATGCAGTTCAAACTTACTAACACCAGAGGGTATTATAGACTTCTGTAAAAACAAGAACTTCAAGGGAGAAAAAAGATATTTTTAGGGTCATGTTAAGGCTTTAACATTTAAAGGCTCTCTAATAAGAAATGCAATTGTAACTTTCCCTGCTATTTTTTCCCTTTCTTAACAAAGAATCATGGCAGAATAGATTTTTTTATTTTAGTAACTTTATAATAACTTTATAAACATAGCAAAGTTAGTATAAGTTGTTTTATTTAACCACTATAGATTATTAAACAGCAAGGGTCAGTTTTATTACTTAAGAAAATTGAATAATTGTTATGGAGGAAAAATGGTAGTAGAATTAGTCATTTTGAGGAAAACAAAGCATAGGTTTCTTTTCATTTTAAACTTTTGCTTGATCTAAATTGTTAAATTTGATTCTGTTTTTTTATCTCCTATTCTAAAGGACTCTTAGATATAACCAAGTAAAGTCTGTAGTGGTTTAAAAGTTTTAYGGATACTTATCTATTGCCGTAGTTATGAAAGTAGACTTCCCAAAGTATTTAATAACGTGTTGAGAAGGAATTTCTTGGGATTATTGGAAATAATTAGTCACTTGGGCAACTATGCTTGTATGCATATTCTCTTAAGTGATATAAACAAGACTATTAATTTTCCCCCTAGATTATTTGATTAGAAAACTTGAGGCAACTTTATGTTTTTATTTAATGGGAAGTTGGATTTCACTATTAGTACTAATCTCATTATAATATTTAATTTWGTATGATTAAAATAATAATAACTAATATTTTTAAGTCCCTACTAGTGTCAGGCACTGTTATAAATATACCTGTTTCTCATTTAATTACTTTACCTTATATTACATGTTTTTACTTTGAATTTAATGTTAAATTTTAAAAAGTGTGTTTTCTTGGGAATASACACAATTATAAGAAAGAATCCTTAATGTGAAGCTACCCATGTAAACAATTTAGAAAACAAATCTTGGATTTGGAAATACATGGTCTTTTAAAATTTAATATTGCCTATTCTGTTTCATGTTTACTGGCACCTTTCCATTGTACCTTCCTCTATCAAACCTAACCTTTCTCCTCCCACTTCACCTTCCAATGTTAGTACCTACTATTCCCAGATATTGTGATAATATATATTTTTTGTTATTTGCTGTTAGTTTTTATCATTTTTACTCTTTGCTTATCAACACAAGAGTGTGTTCTTTTTCATATACATATTTGTAGATTTCTGAATGGTTTATTTTTTGTTTATTTTGGTAAGTTTTTACTATGTGAAAAATGTTTCATCTTAAGTTTTGTAACAATCTTAGATGTAAATCATCTGTCTCATTTCTCCAGGACCGGATTTTAAAATTCTATACACAGACATTTACACTTTCACCGTTGTATATGACCAAGGAAATTTATACAAACTTAGGTATGTTTATTAAATCATTTAAAAATGTTTTTTCTCTTATATGCAGTTAAGAAATGATGATATAAAAGTTGTATATTTTTTCTTTTTTCAGCAAAATATTTGGAGTTATATTTTCTTTCTAGAGAAAATCATATTCCTACTCTTTCAACTGGTGTAGATATAACTAATTATAATGTGATCTGCTTACTCAAAAAGGTATTTGTTTACTAGAATATGCTTCTATTTTTAGTAGTTCTGTATTTAAGAATTCTAATATTGTAAGAACTCTTGAACATTGCTCTGTAGGTTCGACTTCTAAATGAGTATCAGAAGGAGGTTCCATCTTTCTGGATTCGTCATCCAGAGAAGTAAGTCTCCTAACTTATGCAAATRTGAAAAACATAGGTTATTGACTTTTAGACATTTCAATTGAGTAGAGACAGTCTTAATTGATTTACATGATTGGGAAGGTAATGTAGCGTTAAGTTTATCATATTTCACAGTTAGCACTACACAAGTATATCATTTTATATCACTTATCAAAACAAGGTAAAAGTAGGATCTTGTAGTTTCAGGTTTTCTTTGCTACTTTGGACTAGTTTCTTAAATGTTCTTTAACCTTTTTTTCTTTCATCTACAAAATGTCTAATAAGGTTCTAAGTACATTGGTGAATCTCAAAAGGAAAGTTTTGGAGAGTCAGTGTTGAAATAGAAACAATATAAGTTATTTTTCATTTTAAAATTTTTAATTTGTTATATATGACAGCAAAATGAATTACAATTCATATTACACATATAGAGCACAAGTTTTAATATCTCTGGTTGTACACAAAGTAGAGTCACACCATTTGTGTCTTCATACATGTTCTTAGGGTCATGATGTCCATCTCATTCCACCATCTTTCCTACTCCCATGCCCCCTCCCTTCTCCTTTCACCCCTTTTCCTCTTTGCCCTCTCTAGAGTTAATTTAATCCTCCCATGCCCCCCGCCTCCCCCACATTATGAATCAGCATCCTTAAATCAGAGAAAACATTCGGCATTTGGGTTTTTGGGATTGGCTAACTTCACTTAACATTATAGTCTCCAACTCCATCCATTTACCTGTAAATGCCATGATTTTATTCCCTTTTAATGCTGAATAATATTCTATTGTATATATACCACGGTTTCTTTATCCATTCATCTACTGAAGGGCATCTAGGTTGGTTCCACAGTTTAGGTATTGTGAATTGTGCTGCTAGAAACATTGGTGTGGCTGTGTCCCTGGGATAGCTGGGTCAAATGGTGGTTCTATTCCCAGCTTTCCAAAGAATCTCTATATTGCTTTCCATACTGGCTGCAACTGTGTTGAAATAGAAACAATGTAAGTTTTTAAAGCAGAAAAACTGAGTGTGAATATCATCTCTGCTGTTTACTAAATATAAAGATTGTTACTAAAAATTACATTTCACAAATGTAAAGTATATCACCAGTTTTATACACACACACACACACACACACACACACACATATGCGCTTAAAAAAATAGTCTTTTTTTATTTTTTCATAAAATCTCTTGTTCTTTCCCAAACTTTAAGGTATATGGAAGAAATTGTGGAGAGTACTTTGTCCTTGTTGTCAGTTAAACATGATCAAAGTCATCTTGTATCACAAAAGATTTTGGATCCAATCTACTTTTTTGCATTAGTTGATACTAAGGCTGTGTGGTTCAAAAAGTGGATGGTAAGGAAAACTAGAATTTTCTTTTGTTACATCATTTAAAGAATAACTAGTATTTACTGTGTGCTAAGAGTTCTAGTCACTTTTATGTGTATTAACTTATTTAATTCTTCTAAAAATCTATGAGATAGGGTGGCATTAACTTGCCCAAGATMATTCATCTGGTATTTGGCAGAGTCAGAATAGGATTTTAAATGGTAATTTATTTGGTCTATTTAAGGTGAATGGCCTCTCCAAAAATCTAATTTGTTTTAGTTTATTTAAAAGCTTTGAAAATTTAAAATTGATGTGATAGGATCTCAGGATTCACTGCTGATTTTTCTTGGGCATAGGAGATATGTCTAAAATATTCCTCTTTGCCTCTTCCTGAACCTGCAGTTTAGCGAATGTGTTTAATGCCCAAATTCTAGTGGAGCTCCTCACATCCTAGAACTGAAATCCAAATTAAGAGTGGAGAGATCTTTATGCTGTTACCTCCCTCCTCTGCTATGGAATAGTAGAGGTCTGTCTGTGTCTGGCAATTGCAGCACTAGTTTCTGTGTTACATCTTGTTTCTCTCAACCTGTCTACTAGGCTCTAGGTATCTGTTGCAGTAGAGAAGAGAGTGGCTGGGGACTTGCTATGTAAAACAGTAGCATATTTGTTTATTGCTCAGCACAGTTTGAATATTAAATAGCATATGGCTTTTTTCCCCCTACTTTTTGTTATCTAAACTATATGGTAAATGCCCAGTTAATTAGAACATGATTCTGTCTCCAGTTCTTAGCTGCCATGTAGCCTACATAATAATGTTTGATAAATGTTTGCTGAATTTAATTAAATTAACCTGAATCCTTTATTCCTTTTGTCTGATACTTTCTCTTAATTTTTTTCTTGATTATCAAATTAGACCTTTATTGAGGAAAGTTACAAAAAATATAAAAGCACATTTTTTTTTCCTAATTATTCAGCACAGGGATAAMAACTGTTAAATTTTTGATTTATGTAAGTCTATATTTTTAATACACTTATCTTTTTCTGCTTAGGTCTTTTTTGTTTTGTTGGTTTTTTTCAACAAAAATGAAATCATATTCTCTTAATTTTTGAAAATTTATTTCACTTAACATTTTTGATTGCCAGTACTGATTCCAACAGAATGAGACAGATCACAAGAAAACTAAGTAATACATTTAACAAAATTAAACCTCAAATGTTTTATCATTTTAATGAAAACTTCTGTTATCCTTCTGCATTCTTTGTGTTTATGGCAGTGGTTGACAAACTTTATGTAAAGGACCAGACAGTAAATTTTTCTGGCTTTATTGGCTGTCTAGTCTCTGTTTCGGCTTTTCAACCCAACTGTTGTGGCTTCAAAGCAACCATAGGTAATATGTAAATGAATGTACTTGACTGTGTTCAAATAGAACTTTYAAAATCAGGTGGTAGACTGAATTTGGTCCAGGGACTAATTTGCTGAACCTGATCTATCAAAGGTGCTATGAACATTTCTTTTCAGAACATGGTCAATATTAAAAATAGTTTAAGTATACATCAACATATTTACTTCATTAAATCAAAAAATGATGTATGAAAACATTTTAAACTACATGGGATTTGACTACCATCCAGTTAATTAAAATACTATTTAATGAATTAAAATCACTATTCCCTCAAATTCCTATAGTTTTTACTGGGAATTATTGTATTTAATATTTTATTTGTTTTTAAGAAAAATAAAGTACTTTTTAACACTAATGATATCATAATCTAACAAAACAGTATTTATAGTTTTCCTTGGCTTTGTAGAATACATTGTATGTATAGACTTTAATGCCATGTATATTCAACTCTTAAGGAGAGAATTAAAGATTTTTTGGGCTTTTTTCAGTCATTTTACAATATTATTGGCAGAAGGTAATTAGTATTTCAACCTTGGCAAGTTTCTGCACATATGGATAGTACAAGTTTTCAGCATATGATTTGTGATTTTTTTCTCCTCCTGCTTCTGTATACTTTCTTTGGTTTCTGTCATACACTGGTAGTTAGGTATGCATTTTTGGTGGTGGTTTTAAACAAGTTTAGCATGGAAACTGTACAAGATGGATAGAATGTCTTTTTTTTTTTTTTTTACTGGTGTGACACTATAGGATCTAAAAGTTTTTTTATATCTTTTGCATTCCTGAGATTGCTTTCTTCTTAATACAATGTACATTGTAAAACATTCTTGGCATTGGCTGTAATAATTTAAACCCAATTTTTATGTGATTTATGATATTGGTAATGATGCTACAAAAAGATTTTAAATGGCATAACTTGAATATTAAATATCATTTCTTCTTAACTTTAGCATGCATATTATAGCAGAGATGTGGTACTGAGGCTTCTTGAAAAGAAATATAAGTCTTTGGTAAGTCAGTACTTTTTATGTTCAGAARTAATATCATAGATTATATGATATACCTTTTTGAATATGCAAAGTCAAATGGGGATGATTAATATTAGCTAATGAAGCAATTCYCCTTTCATGTGACCTTAAACTACATTTTATGAAACATGAAAGAATAAAAGTAGAGACTTAAGAGGCAGTCAGGTTAACAATTAGGAAATATATAAGTACATATTAAAGTGGGCTGCTGTAAATAACAAGGTAGTGTGAGAGAAGCCATATTTCTAAGTATTACATGTAATTTGACTGAGGTCAGACATTGAGAAGGTAATTACTTCTATAAAATATAACTCTAATTTTGAGTAAAACTTGCAAGAAAAAACTCAAGAGTGAARAGTGTTTTTGTATTTTTAAAAATTGGTGAGTTACATCAAGTATAGATTTATACTCTAAAATATATTATAAAAATTATCTATATTTGTTGCTGTAGAACATTGTATAAGGGCCCTGAAAGAGATGGAAAAAAATCAGCAAAATTAATAAATAAATAATAAATATGAAAAACATCAAATTTATTAAAATATTTGTTATACTAGTATAACTTTGGGTCAATAAGTATGGTTTATGTAATTAGGTAGACAAAGGGAATATTACTAAAATTGTGGGTTTTGGGGTGAGTATAGTAGAACATAGGATGAAAGAAGGAGAAAAATAATTGTTTTGTGTTTGAGAATTAAGAAAATTGGGTAGAAGTGAGGAATACTGTACAAATGGATAAGAATTTATTTGTACAAATAAAGGGTASTTAAGAAAAGAAAAATTGAACTGAAATAAAGCCTTTCTATCTTTCATTTTTCTCCCGTTCCTACTTAAATGAATTCTTTGTTGCCAAATGAGCATAGACTTCTGGTGCTAGAAGAGAGAAAGGGGAAAAGCCAAAGAACAGGACAATTGGTTGCCGCCCCTCCACCCCCCATGTATACATAGGAACACCATTGCTATTACAGAGGCCCTAGTGCAAGCATTTAAAATGTTTCTTATAAATTGATTCTTACAATCTGTTTCTTTTTTGAAAAGTCAACCTCTATCAGTCAATTTTTAGCCTGCAGGTAAAATTACTTCATTATAAACCACTTCATTATTTTATCAAATTAGTAAAAAATTTTGTTTTATGTTTGTAATGGATCAGACTTGCTAGAAGAGACTTCATTTTAAATTTCTTTTTTTTCTAAAAAGCTTTTTAAAATTTATAAAACATCAAAAAAATTTTGTTAAGTAAATTTGGTCCTTCTTTTGAAAAGAAGTAGAGAAAAATGAATACAAGATGCATTTATTTCCATTTTCTTTTCAGAGTTGAGATTTAATTGTGAATCTGTGGTGGAACTTTAGTTCATTCCTTTAGATTTATCTTTCTGTTCTTTAAGAAATCCTTGCATTAGAATCTTAATCTGAGTAGCCTATTCAGTGTAATGTTAATCTACTAAAGCTTCTCCTTTAGTTTCTCATTAGTACTGTCTGATGACATTTTCTTCAACAATGGAAAAATCTACATTTTTCAGCCACTAGTCTTATATGACTATAGAAAACTTGGAATATATCTAGGATAACTGAAACACTGAATTTTAAGTTTTATTTAATTTTAATTTAAATTGTCACATGTTTAGTGACCACTGTATTTGTGTAATTCTATCTGTATGCTTTTGACATTTTCAATAGGTAGCATTAGGACATCAAACAATTTATGTATGTGCTGTCAGTTATTTATAGAAGTTAAGATACTCTTTGTTTTCATGGCATTGCACAGTCATGAACTAGTTAAAAAACATTTTGATTTTTAGTGTAAATATTTAATCTTTTGTTTTTAATAATTTGAATAATTGTTCAGATACCATTAAAGGAATGAGTTCTGAAATGGCTTCAGGTGGTACCATTTTTCTTATTCTCTGAAAGTTATAGGTGTTATAGAAGAGAAATGTTTAAGCGAAAAAATGGTTGAGAGGTTGTGGGTAATGTYAGCCAAAGATGATGGAAGTGTGAACTAAGGATATGCCCCTGAGAACTGGGATAAAAATGGATAGATCYATTACTGTTGTTAGAAGTAGGATTTGGAGATCTTGATTTTTGAAGAGGGGATGGTGAGACCTCAAATAATTAAGTGATTAATGTCATTAAGTGAAGCAGGTAACGTAGTAAAAGGAAAACATTGCTGGTAAAGTAATGGTTTTTTTKATTTGGTAGATTTGGTCATATAGTGTTTGAAATGCAGATCTCCAGAAGACATGGCTCTGATCTCTGAAATTTGATTTAGACAAGATATATAGCTATGGGAGATGGTTCTGAGACAACCCCCAGATTTGATGATTTTCTGGGAGGATTCAGGACTCAGTACATAGTTGTACTCTCAGCTATCATTTGTTACAGTGAAAGGATACAACATAAAATCAGCAAAGAGAAGAGGTAAATTTGGTGAAATCTGGAGGAAATGAAAGTGTAAGATTCTAACTGTTTTACCATGGAAACACATAGGATATGCTTAAGTCCTCCAGCATTGAATTGTGACAACTTGGATAAAATGTTATCTATTGGGAAGTTTGTTAGAGATTATTGAACAGTTTATTTTATTGGGGTCTGACTGTATAGGCACTTTCTGCCTAACACATATTTCACATGGTTACAAATAATGCAGATATTCAGCATAAACCACATTTTTTTTTAAATTATTTTTTATAGTTTAGGTACAGTGAAAGCCCTCTGATCCATTCTTGGAATGATGGTGATAGGTAACAGGGAGATGTACATGGTGGAAACATGAGGTTAAGGGAATGATTCTATAAACTGGGTCCATTGTGCTGGCCTCCACATGCTTTTTTGTGGGGATTGAACTCAGGGGCCTTGACCACTGAGCCCTGTCCTCAGCCCTATTTTGTATTTTATTTTATTTTATTTTATTTTTTTTTAGAGAGAGGAGAGAGAGAGAGAAAGAGAGAGAGAATTTTAATATTTATTTATTTTTTTTTAGTTCTCGGCAGACACAACATCTTTGTTTTGCATGTGGTGCTGAGGACGCATGCCAGGCAATCCTGCTACCGCTTGAGCCACATCCCCAGCCCCCTATTTTGTATTTTATTTAGAGACATGGTCTCACTGAGTTGCTTAGCACCTCACAGTTGCTGAGGCTGGCACAATCCTCCTGTCTCAGCCTCCTGGGCTGCTGGGATTACAAATGTGTGCCACCGTGCCTGGCCACGTGCTTTTCTTTTAAAAAACAAATTACTAGCAACCCTGCCTGGCTTAAATTAACAAGATATATTACATTCTTCATCAAATTACCCATTATTTGAAGTAGAAATACTGGTCTGAAAGGCTCCATCCTGCTAAGTTACACTTAAGTGGGGGACTTTGGTGACCCTTATAGAGACTAGATTTCAGAACTCACGGAGATAAGGATAATTCCCTTTAACTGTAAAATTTTTAAGAATAAGTTCCAATCAGAACCAATTAGCATTGGCCAAAGTGACCCATAGTTGCCTCAGACCATTACTGCGTACAGTGGTTTGAAAATATGGTGCAATCATGCTGTCAGTCAAAAGTCAAGTGGTTGGTGAGACTCTCAGAAAACTTCCCTAGACCCCCAATAAAACTAGAGGGCAGGGCTGGGGATAAAGCTCAGTTGGTAGAGTGCTTGCCTTGCATGCACAAAGCCCTGGGTTCAATCCCCAGCACCACAAAAATAAATAAATAGATAAAAASAAACAAACTGGAGGGCATGGGATGGGGGCACATATCCCTCACTCTGAGAAGACTCATTCTCTCCCTTGCCAGTGACCTGTTTCCTCCTTTTCCTATCTGTCTAATAAGCAGTCTGTTCTTTTAATAAGCCTCAGGTCTTGCTGGAATCCTCTCAAGCAAGAACACTAGAAGCCAGGGTAGAGACTTCACATCTGCCTGGCTTGGGCTTCACAGGCAGTTTTCTTCTGCAACAGTGGGAACTTCTAAACTCCAATTTTCCAGATGCTATCAGAGTCTAACCTTGAAATCAGTACTATCTAAAGACAGAAGTCCTGCCATGTTAACTTTTGTGTGTGTGTGTGTGTGCACAGACCTGAGGTCACAATAAAATGAATTAGATAGGGAAATCCATTGATAACTGCATACCATCTTTGTGAACTTGCCTAAGTTCATACAGAGTCTCTCTCTCTCTCTCTCTATATATATATATATATATTTGCTATCTAAAGCTTAATCCTCTTTCTACTTGACTCCAAACTTCTTTTCCCTCTTGGGTACATTTTTCTGTCAGCTTACTTCTTTATTTCCTATATAGTTGAACTTTTCTGTCAGATACCCTACCAAGAACACGAAGCATGACCCTATCTTTCCAACTTGGAAAAAAAAATTTAGTTTTGCCTCTAAGACCCTTATAGTACCTGTTGCTCTATTTTAAATTTCCTTCATGGCTAACTTTCATGAAAATGAAAATAATTCTAGGTACCTCTACTTTTTCAGTTCTTATTTCTTTATTGTAAACTGGATTTAATCTTCAAATTCCCATGAAACTAATCTATTCAGGGTCTCCAACAATCTCCTTATTACTAAATCTAATAATTATCAGTCCTTTTTCACTGATGATTTGTATTTTGTTTGGGAATTAGAATTGGAGGGAATCTATTGGGAGTAGGTAAGTTTTGGGAAAGGGGAGAAGGGTTGAAAGCTCTACTTGTGAAGAATGGGAGGAAGGGTTAGAATGGAGACTTACAGAAGAATCATTAGGAAAAGTAGGGGTTGTAGATTTTTAAAAAATTATGACAATGTTCTTTAAATTTTCAGTTTTCTTTCTTTCTTTTTATTTTTTTTAATTGTATATTGGAGATGGAAACAGAATTTTAAACCAGTCAATATATTTGCKGGCCAGATGGGAAGAAAAGACTATGATGTGAGGGAACTGTGCAAGAAAGTTTTGAAAGCCATGGCTGTAGTATTTTTGTATCTTTCACTAAAATGTCAGATTATGTTTATTTCCGTCCACTGACACCAATATTAAGATAATAATATATTTGTTCACAAATCTTTTCAGTGCTCCCCAAATTGATGCCATAGTAATATGTGACTGGGGAGACTGAGTTGTAGTACCTGAAAAGGTAGTAGTCTACATATTTCCTAAATATTTCCTGCTAGAATTTTTATAGCTTTGCCTATTTTTTTAAATAAAAATACTTGGACTTCTAGACTGCAAGTTCCTGAAATTAATGAGATTTTATTTTATTAGATAACCACAGCAGTTCAGCAGTGTGTTCAGTACTTGGAATTATGTGAGACCATGAAAACTGATGAAATTTTGGAACATTCAAAGCATTGTGGTACGTATTTTTTTTTAATTACATTAAAAATGTTTAATTTTGCTGGTCATGGTGCACTCGCCTGTAATCCCAGTGGCTCGGAGGCAGAGGTAGGAGGGTCGCAAGTTCAAAGCCAGCCTCCGCAACTTAGGAAGGCCCTACAGCAATTTAAGAGAGACCCTGTCTCCAAATAAAATATAAAAAAGGACCAAGGATGTGGCTCAGAAATAGCCTTATAATGACTTATTTTTTTAGTAGCTGGTAAATGAGATCACTTTTACCAATGACTTAACATATTTTGAGAAATTAAAAAGATTTAGTGACTTTTTAATAATATCTACCTTTAAAATGAATGTTTAGTCATACTGATTCATACTATATGCAGCTCTTCAAGTTATATTAGGCATTAGTATTCTAATCTCTCATACTACCATGATATGTAGTCCCTTTTTCTCTTCTGCTATTGTCTCACTCTTTTAATCAGATACTTAAGCACGTTAGAGGAAAAATTCCCTACAATGTAGTTTTTATTATCAAATACCCCATCCTGCCCTGTGCTTCATTTCTACTTATATTCAGTCTGAGCTAAAACATCCTAGATAATTTAAAATCTGGCCCTAATTTTTTTTATCTGGTCTCTTATTTTGATATTGAGTAAAATAAGTCTTCTTTCAGATTGTTTTGCCCATCAATGCCTATATACCTTTGTTATTTTTACTTCTGTTGCCTCTTTCATATTTACTTAAACCAATATAAGTAAATCTTATATCTTATTTATCATGAAAGAATAAACTTCACCTAATTGGAATTTTTCTGGATCTTTGCTTACGGTTCACAACTTGCCATGTGAAACTGAACTTTCATGTTGGTTACATTTATTGTTTTTTGAAACAAATGATAAGTTATTGAGAGTATGAAAGTATCTTATAATTTAGTTTATCCCTGAATAAAATTCTTTAACTCAAAGCATGGGAAAGTGTCAAAGACCAATAATTAATGGATTTCAAAACCTCACATTTTGCAGTGGAGGAGAAAGTGCAGAAATTGAAATTTATTCTTGAAAAGAAACAAAAGTATGCATAATTTTATGTATTATCTCATATAAATATTTTTAGATTTTTCTAATTTCTTGATATTAAAAAGTTACATCAAGCATCCCCCCTAACCCCCACTCTACTAGTTCTCATGGCTTTGCTTTCTTTCTTATCTAGTGGAGACCTTGTGGTATTTCATTGTATTCTTTTGCCATATTCATTTTTTTCCTTCTTCAAATTTTTTTGCTCATTCTTGCCTGTATTTTCCCAACTTTAGGTCAGTTCAGCTTTCCATTTTTTGGGGTTCTCAGGAAACTGAGCAGAGAGAATTTGTTATGTTGATTGAAAAGTGCAAATATATGTTTTCTAACCTCAGTTGCTCTTTTTGTGTTGCTTTGGAATTCTCTTAGGTGATCTTTCTTTGATGTCCCAGCTGTTACAGTATTTGCCAGTTTCAGCAAACCACCTTTCTTGTTATTGCCCACTCTCTTTCAAGAGGACTCCATGGTGATTATTTCACTAAGAAAATAGATTTTTTTTTGTATACGACCTCCCCACATGTCCTGCTTCTGTGTATACGAATGAATGTTTATATACCTTTATCAGTATTTCCTTTCTCTAGCTTGTAATCAAGATGTATCCTATTTCAGATTGACCACTTTATCTGTTCTCTTGATTCTGTTACCTCCTGGAGTGTTTGTGTTTGTTTGTTTGTTTTGCTTTATTTTTAGTGAAACTAGGCCATTTTGTTATTCTGTATCTCTTTGCATTGGTTCTTTCTCCTGCGTTGTCTAACCTGCTCATGGGTGATCCATAATAAAAAATGGAGCAAGTTCTGTGCTCCATATGTTTTACCTTTCTGCTTCCCTTGAAAGAAGAGCTTTCTGTGTATTCTGGATTCCCCAGGTCCCACTTCTTTGCCTCTTCTTCACTTTTCAGTCATAGAAGTAGGCTTCTATTTCTACTCCTCTAAGGCCTTCCCATGTTAGCTTCTAATCTTTCTTGTCCTCATTTAACAGCATGTATCTCTGTTGATTCTTTCCTCCTCATCTTAGTGTCATGTTTTTCTTGTATTCCTTCATTGTCGTACATAGTAAGTTTTGTGTGTTCACTTGAAGAGCCTTTCTCTTTTCTTCACGTTTGTACTGGCAAATGTTTTCCCTTTGTGCTTTTTTCCACTTTACTATATTTGTTTTMTTGAGGGAGCTCATGTACATGGCCTCAAGTATTACATATTTACATGTATCAGTGACTGAAATATGTAAGTTTACATTCCTTTCCTGAATTTCAGATCCACTCACTTTTACTTAATATTACTACCTAAAGGTTATTTATGTCCTTCAAAATTTACAGTACTGAAATCACTGTTCCTTCTCTTTTTAGACCTGTTGTTTTACTCATTGGAATTACTTACATAGGAGAAATTTACCCTGTATACTATGTTAGAAATTGAGTTTTCTCATCTTTTTCTTTCACTGCCTATGTGTAATCCTGGCTATGGCATATTATTTTTCTTTTTTTCCATATTTTTTATTGATGCATTATAATTATATGTAATGGTGGGATTGATTGTGACATACATTTCATTTTCTTAAACATAAACTTTTATTTGTCTCCTCTTCATTTTTTTTTGCTAGTGTTTTTGTGTATAATTTTCTTGATAAAGCTTCTTTCACACCTTGATTTTGTTTCATTCGCTTTCTACACTGCTGTAGAGACAGTGTTCCACTAYGTGTATTTAACTCCTTAAAGAGCTTTACTTTTATCCTAATGGCCTCTGTAATAAAGTCCAGATTCTTTCCATGACCATGTCTTCATGATCTGCCCTTTAAAGCTCCTTATCTCTTCCCCTTGTCCTCTGCATACTCTCGTGATACCACCCTGCTGGCTGTAGTCTAATTGGGAGCTAAGTTTAAGTCTCWTTCTGGTTTTTATCATTAGTGAAAAGTGCAGGATCTTGTATAAAATAGATATTTGATATATCTTGACTCTATGGGCGAATGAGTAAATAGCAAATAAATATTAGAAAATCTCTATAGTATGATCTTTTGTGTACCTGAAACACTTGGGACTAGAAGTGTTTCATATGGCAGTTTTTTAGATTTTGGAATATTTTTTTATAGATTTTACATGCATTTACTTTTAGTTAGTAAAACTGCAGAGTAACTAACATTTTTTATTGACTTCTTTCCTTCCTTAACTTACTTTTAAAGCATGTCCTTGATGACAGGTGATAACTCTGGCAATTTTTGGTATTTATTTTAGAATGAGCACTGATGCATATAATACGATACACACACACACACACACACACACACATATATATATAGTCTGATACATATTATACTACATATATATATATATATATATATATATATGGTCTGATGCATATTTTTCTGAGTTTTGTCAATTTTATGACTACTTTTTCTCAGATTTATGTAAAGAGCCTTAGCAAACAAGGAAATAAATATTAAATTTTTTTTTTTAGTTGTAGTTGGATATAATACCTTTATTTTATTTATTTTTGTGTGATGCTGAGGATTGAACCCAATGCCTCATACATGCTAGGTGAGAGTCTACTGCTGAGCCACAACTCCAGCCCAGGAAATAAATATTTTTAAAATTCCCACCAACAGTGTCTTCATTATAGACTAGAATCTTGTGTGTTTAGAAGAAAATGGAGAGAGGTACTGTAAAATATTTAAACATTAAAATGTTTTTGTTTCTTCTTTTAAGGGAACAAACAGAAAATTGTCTACTACTCAGGACAAGAATTACAATATATTTATTTCATTCACTCATTATGCATTTTAGGAAGATTATTGATCTATAAACAAGGCAGAAAACTCTTTCCCATGAAGCTAGAGGATAAAAAAGGTAAGTGAGATTAGGAGAAATGAATATGTGGAAGTAAGGTAAGATTTATATGCTGTGGCTCATTCAAGCTTGGAGTTTTCCCATGTTTTTTCAAAGGTATTTAGTTATATACYTTTTAGTTTTATATATATTGAAGTATTTTTTTCTTTGAATTTTCAGTTTCTACTTCTTCCTACATGCATAGGTGTTTTTCTTATTCTCCTAGAATGTAATAATTATTTTCCCCTGTCTCTCAAAATTCTCAACATACTTGATGATCCAGTTCTGCATGTAAAAGTAGAAGACCTTATTTAAGTTCTGGTTGTCTTATACATTATCTAAGATCTTTTGGGCAAATCACTTACTTTATGTTGTTTTGGTTTCTTAAATCATGAAAATTGAATAATGGTATCAGTGATGCTACACTTAGAGAACTTTTGTTTGAGAATATTGTTTTATAAACTGCAAAGCCCAATACCACTTGATACACTATCATATTGTTTTTACCCTAAGTCTTCTTAATTTTCCTCTATTAAACTTTGGCACATGTTGCTAGTTATTCTTATTTCCCTTAAAACCCTAAGCTTATCTAAGAATATACTACAGAGTAGGGGCTGTCAAAATTTTCCTGTAAAGTGCTAGATACTAACTCTTTTAGCCACACTGGGCCACATAATGTCTTTCTCTGTGTGTGCACCTGAATGTACCCCCCCAAAAATAAATAAATAAATAAAATAAAAAGGTAGCATCACAATCTGGAGTCTGCTGTTCCTAGAAAGGGCTTGTGCAAGGTTGGTCCTTGGTTGGTGTCTAGAATTCTTTTATTCCCAGCCCTGAGAGATACCTAAGCTATAGACTGATCACAGTGTCTATTCTGCTTACAATGTGTTTTACACTAAACACTTAATTTCCTTTTATGAATTTAGAAATTTGGTATGTGCTAGGCAATAGGTACCTGAATCTTCAACCTTCAGTAAAAACTTTGGGATTTATAATGACCTTTCCTGATAGCCATTATTTTACATATGTTTTTAAAATTCAATCCTAGAAGAATTAAATGTATTCTGTGTCACTCTGTGGAAGAGAACACTTAGAAGCTTGTGCCTGGTTTTCTCTGGATTTCACCACATTCCCCATTTCCCTTGGATTTTTCTTTGTGTGCTTTTGATGTAACAAAACATAGCTGTATGACTGTATGTTGAAACATTCGAGTCTTGCTAGTAAATCACTGAATCTGAGCATGGTTTTGAGGAACCTCAAACACATTTTAAAAATGAAAATCCATTCTTAGCTTGTGAGCATTACAAAATCAGATCATAAGGACTACAATTTGCTGACCTGTGTTATGGAGTATATTCTAGACTTCTAGGCATCTCTCTGGTGGTCTGGAGTAGGGTGTTGTGAAACCTGGTTGTTGGTGATCTGTTGATTTTGCAGTAGTCATGATGCCCCTGTGAATCTTGAGAATATGTAGTTCTTAGCCTGGTGTCAGAAGCCTAAAAGGGGGAGGCTAGAACTTAGGGAAGTTTTAGGTAAATGAATCTGTACTATTTTTGACAAGCATTCCTTAAGTGAATAACATGTTTATGTGCAGAGCTGAGCAGAAACATTTTGACTTAAAGATTAAGGTAGCAAAAGAGACAGAAATGTCATGAAGTCCAAGATGTCTAGCTTTTTCACTCTGWTTTTAGTCACTGATCAGATGTCTGCACAGGCTCAAGTGAAGAGTCAGTGCTTTTGACAAAAGCAGCCTTCAAGTCCATGAAAAATAACCTGGGCAACCATTACCATAACTCTCATATAAGATATGTTATGTATCAGAGCTAATGGGAGACTTAATAGTGCATTGCTCAATTGTGTGATTTCCAAAATTAATGAATTTTAAAGTCAACTAAAGGTAAGTAACTCAGAGCAAGTGAGACTGGAAGATTCACTTAGCTTTTTCCTTAGTTTTGCTCCTAATTGAATAAGTACAAATAGCAATAATCAGATTTATGAATCTTTTAATTAGAAGTTTATACTAAGTGATTAGCTAAAAAAAAAAATCCCCTGTCCCTCCACATAGCCCACATCATATTGTTTGCCTTGCCATTTTTTAATATACTATGTCTAATTTGTTCTGGAGTCATGTGTTTTTGATTATAGCTTCTGCCTTCCTGATTGGATCATGTTTTCTATAAAAACTCAGTCATAGATTGATGAGCCCTTAGTTAAATTGTCCTAGGTTGTAAGTATATAATAGGGATTAATTTCTTTCTTTTTCTATTTCTTTGTGAAGATTCAGTATCCCTTACAGATCTGCTGGTTCTATTTACCCAACTTATCTATTATTCACCAAGTTGTCCAAAGATGACATCATCTCCACACTCAGGTAATTTGGCTTGAGTAATAAAAAGCATCTAAAAATATTTAGGTATTGCCAGAATGTTTTGAGTACCTGGTGTAGTTTTGTCAATAGATTTCATTAAGATATAGCATTATTAAGAAGAAATTACATTGGTTCTGAAGTAAACCATGAAATTTAATTTTGTTCATTGATGTTCTAAGATATTTCTAATCTACTAACCTCTTAATTTAGGATCAATTTTCCTGAGGATTTTAATATTCTTTATTAAAAGGAAGATGTTCTCAAGAAATGAGATCATGCTTGATTGATAGGTACTAATTTGTTTTGTTTTTGATATTTTCTGTCTTTTATCTTTCCCAGAATGTTTTGATCAGCTTACATGTTTTAGCTCACATCCAAACTTCACAATCTTTTCAGGGTCCTTTTTTATTGAAGATTAAAGAAAAAATACATATACAGCACAATTTTTCATATCTCTGATTGTATAAAAAATATGTTCATACCAATTCGTGTCTTCATATACGTACTTTGGATAATGATGTCCATCACATTTCACCATCCTTGCTAACCCTTTCCCCATTCCCTTCCCCTCCCGTCCCTTTGCCCTATCTAGACTTARTCTATTCCTCTCATGCTGCCTCTCCCTACCCGACTATGAATCAGCCTCCTTGTATCAGAGAAAACATTCGGCATTTGGGTTTTTTGGATTGGCTAACTTCACTTAGCATTATCTTCTTCAACACCATCCATTTACCTGCAAATACCATGATTTTATTCTCTTTTATTACTGAGTAATATTTCATTGTGTATATAGGCCACCTTTTTTTTTTATCCATTCATCTACTGAAGGGCATTTAGGTTCCTTCCACAGTTTAGCTATCGTGAATTGTGCTGCTATAAACATTGATGTGACTGTGTCCCTGTAGTATGCTGTTTTTAAGTCCTTTGAGTATAGACCCAGGAGAGGGATAGCTGGGTCAAATGGTGGTTCCATTCCCAGATTTCCAAGGAATCTCTAAACTGCTTTCCATATTGGCTGCACCGATTTGCAGTCCTACCAGCAATGTATGAGTGTACCTTTTTCCCCACATCCTTGCCAACACTTATTGTTGTTTGTATGCATAGTAGCTTCCATTCTGACTGGAGTGAGAAGATAACTTAAGAGTAGTTTTGATATGCACTTCTCTAATTGCTAGAGATGATGAACATTTTTTCATATATTTGTTAATTCATTGTATATCCTCAGAATTCTGAGAAGTGTCCGTTCAGGTCCTTGGTCCATTTATTGATTGGGTTATTTGTTTTTTTGGTGTTAGTTTTTTGAGTTCTTTATATATCCTAGAGATTAGTGCTCTATCTGATGTGTGAGGGGTAAAGATTTGCTCCCAAGATGTAGGCTCTCTATTCACCTCATAGTTGTTTCTTTTGCTGAGAAGAAATTTTTAGTGTGAGTTCATCCCATTTATTGATTTTTAAAATTTTAATTCTTGCACTGTGGGGGTCTTATTAAGGAAGTTGGGCCCTAATCCCACATGATGAAGATTAGGGCCTTTGTTCTTGTCAGGTATTTTGGTCACAGTGACACAAAGCTGACCAATACACATACTGTATTTTCTTTATTCATTCTTCCATGGGATCCTAGAATGATTCCATTTCTTAGCTTTTGTGAACAGTGCCAAAATAAAAAATGGGTATATAGGTAATGCTTTTATATGCTGATTAATTTGCTTTGGATATATTCTGTATTTAGTTTTTGAAGAACCTATATACAGTTCTCCATAATGACTGTATTAATTTACATTCTTACCAACAGTTTATAAGCAAGCATTCTTTTTCCTTTTCATCCTTGCCAGTGTTTGTTACTTTTTACAATAGCCCTTCTGACTGGGATTAAGTGGAATTTCAATGTAGGTTCAATTTGCTAAAGATACTTGATGGCTAAAGATATTGAGCATTTTAAAATTTATGTGTTTGCCATTTGTGTGTGCATATATATGTATGTATGTATATGTGTGTATATATATATATATGTTTTTTAAACTCTCTATTTGGTTTATATGGCTTTTTTTTTTTTTTTTGGTCCCAGTGATTAACCCAGGGGCACTTTATCACCGAGCCGAGCCACATCCCTAGTCCTTTTTATTTTTTATTTTGAAACACAGTCTCGCTAAGTTGCTTAGAGTTTGCTAAATTGCTGAGACTGGCCTTGAACTTGGGATCCTCCTGCCTCATGCTCCTGAGCCACTGGGATTACAGGTATCTACCACCATGCTGAGCTTCATTTGGCCAATTTTTTTTTTTTGGATTACTTATTCTTCAGTAATTGTTTTGAATTCTTTCTATATTCTAGTTATTAATCTTGTGTTATATGAATAGTGTTAAAGATTTTTTCCCATTCTGTAAATTGTGTTCCACTCAGTTGGTTGTTTCCTTTGTTACAAATTTTATGTAATCTAATTTTTCAATTCTTGTTTTTGTTTTCTAAATCAAAGGAGTTCAATTCAGGAAATCAGTGCCTATGTCAGTATCTTGAAATGTTTCCTCTATATTTTATTCTAATAGTTTCAGAATTTCAGGTCTTCTTATAGTATTTGATCCATTTTGAATTGAATTTTGTATATTATGAGAGACAGGACATTTAGTTTTACTATTCTACATATCTACATATTCATATATCTCCAGTTCCCCACCACTTGTAGAAGAGGCTATTTTTTTTTTCTCAGTTTGTGTTTTTGGCACGTATGTCAAGATTAATTGGCTGGAGATATATGAATTTATTGCTGGGACCTCTGTTTTGTTCCATTATTTTATATGTTCATTTTTATACCAATACCATATTCTTTTTATTACTATGAGTCTGTGGTATATAATGAAATCAGGTATCATGATATCTCCAGTGGTGTCCATTTTTCACAGGACTATTATATATTATATTATATATTATATATATATAATATTATATTATAGCTATTTGGGATCTTTTGTATTTTTATGAATTTTAGGACTTTTTTCTAGTTCTGTTAAGAAAGTGGTATTCTGATGATTATTTTATTGATTCTGTAGATTGCTTTGGATAGTAAGTCCATTTTAATAATATTAATTCTCCATTCTTCCAATCCATGAATATGGGTGATCTTTATATTTTTTGTGTCTTTTTCAGTTTCTTTCTTCAGTGTTCTGTAATTTTCATTGTAGAGGTCTTTTACCTCCTTTTGATTAGGTTAATTTCTAGGGTTTTGTTTTGTCTTTGTTGTTTTTTGCTATTGTGAATGGGGTTGTTATTCCTGACGTCTTTCTCAGTGAGTTCATTGTTGGCATACAGAAAAGCTATTTGTGTGTGTGTGTGTGTGTGTGTGTGTGTGTGTATGTGTGTGTGTGTATGTGTGTGTGTGTTAATTTTGTGTCTAGCTTTTACATTGGATTTATTAGTTCTAAGAGTTTCTTGGGGGAATATTTGTGGTTTTCTAAGTTTAGAATCATATCAGTAAACTGGGATAATTTGATTTTATTCTTTCCTTTTTGTATCCCTTTTACTGCTTTCTCTTGCCTAATTGCTTTGGCTAAAATTTCAAGTAGTATATTGAATGAAGTGGTATCTTATTTCTGATCTTAGAGGGAATGCTTTCAGTTGTTCCCCATTCAGCATGATGTAGGCTGTTGGTTTGTTATATGTAACCTTTATTATGTTGAGATATGATCCTTCTATACGTAGTTTATTCATGAAGGATATTAAGTTTTATTAAAAGCTATTTCTGTATGCATTGAGGTACTTTTCTGATTTTTTTCTTTATTCTTGAATCTCTTTATGTGCTATTTCTTTTACTGATTTGCATATGGTGAAGCATCCTTTCATCCCTGGAATGAAAACAACTTGACCATGTATATCATCTTTTTAATGTGCTGTTGAATTTTATCTACTTAATATTTTACTGATAATTTTTGCATTTATGTTTACCAGGAATATTGGCCTATAGTTTTTTTGTGTGTGTGCCTTTGTCAGGTAATATTGGTTTGTAGAATGAGTTTGGGATGGTTCCTTCTCTTTCATTTTTATGGACTAGTTTGAGGAACATTGATATTAGTTCTTCTTTAATGTTCTGTAAACTGTAGCAGGGAATTAGTCTGGTCCTTTACTTTTATTTGTTGGGATACTTTGTCTTATTATTTTAATCTTTTTACTTATTGTTCTATTTAGTTTATTCTAATATGTTCTTAGTTCATTTTGATAGGTCATATTTGTCTTGAAATTTATGTTTTTTTCTAGTTTTTTTTTTTCAACTTATTGGTATGCCATTTTTCAAAATATTCCTAGTGACTCTGAATTTCAGTGGTATCTGTTTTAATGTTTCTTTTTTCAACTCTAATTTTATTTACCTTTCTCTCTCTTTCTCTCTGGGATAATCTATCTAAAGATTTGTTTATCTTTTAAAGACCCAACTCATTGTTTCATTGATCTTTTGCATTGTTTTTAAAATCTCTATTTGTTGTATTTCTGCTCTGATCTTTATTATTTTTTCCTCTACTGATTTGGGGTTTGGTTTGTTCTTATTTATCTAAGACCTTGAGATGTATCGAGTTTTTAATTTTAGCTCTCTCTGTTCTTTTAATATAAGTACTCATTACTATAAACTTCTCTCCCAGCTTTCACTGTATTTCACCCATTCTAGTATGTTGTGATTTTATTTTGATTTGATTCTAGGAATTATCAAAATTTCCCTCTAATATTTTCAATAATTCACTCTTCAGAAGAGTATTATTCAATCTCTATGTATTTGTATAATTTCTATAGTTTTTCTTGCTATKGATTTCTTGTTTCATTTCATTGTAATCTGATAAGATTCAAGAAATTATTTCTGTTTTTTGGATTTCTAAGGTTTGCTTTACATCCTAATATATGGTCTGTTTGAGACCATATATTAGGATGTAAAGTTCCATGTGTTAATGTGTTAATGAAAAGAATACTGTTGTTAAATGGAATATTTTATAGTTGTCTTTTAAGTATATTTTATCTATAGTATAATTTAACTCTGATGTTTTTTGTCAATTTTTTTGGTCTGGATCATCTCTATTGGTGAGAGTAGGGCACTCCCTTTGTGTCTAGTTTGTGTCTGTGTTTTATATTTTTGGGTGCTCTAGTTTGTTTTATATTTTTGGGTGCTCCAATATTTAGTACATATATATATTTAAAATTGTTATAACATGTTGATGAATTGTTCCCTTCATCAATATGTAATAACTTTCTTTGCCACTTCTAACCGATTTTGTCTTAATATCTCTCTTTTGTTGGATATAAGTRTAGCAGTTCCTGCTTGCTTTCAGATTCCATTTGCTTGCAATATCATTTTCCATTCTTTTAGTTTGTGAATACCTTTTCAGGTGAGGTAAGTTTCTTGGAGGTGGATCTTGTTTTTTAATCTATGGGGTATCTTTTATTATCAAATTAAGACCATTAACCTTTTGGGTTATTGTTGAAAGTTGTGTAGTTGTTCCTGTTGTTTTCTTGATTTTCTTTTTGTTTTAAATATTCTAAGTTCTTTTCTTCTGTTTATTAATTTTTGACATTTGATAGTTTACTATATCAATAATGTTTTTTTTTTTTTTCTCTTTGGTGTGTCTCTTCTTGAAGAAAGATTTATTCTTTTCCATGCTCTCATGATTGTGCTACTTCCTTCTTGCTTTTGGTTGTAGAATGTCCTTAAATATCTTCTGTAATGCTGGTCTAGTGTTTATAAATTCCTTTAGTGGATTTATTTTTTTATTTAATTTAATTTTTTTTTAATACTGGGAATTGAAACCAGGGCACTTTACTAGTGAGCCACACCCCAACTTGTTTATYCTGTATTTTGATACAGGGTGTTTTTGAGTTGCCAAGCTAGCCTTGAATTTGTAATCCTCCTATTTCAGACTCCCAGGCCACTGGAATTACAGATGTGTCCCCAAACCCATGTGAATTCCTTTAGCTTATGCTTATCTCAAAAGTTCTTGATTTCTACTTAAATTTTGAAGGATATCCTTGCTTGGTATAGTATTCTTGCCATTTTTTTCCAGAACATCATTAAATACTTCATTCCATTCCCTCCTGGCCTTTAGAGTTTCTGATAAGAAATCTGATATTTTAATGGATTTGCCTTTAATTGTGTTTTGGTGCTTCTTTCTTCTAGCTCTTGACACTTTTTCTTCTGTACTTTTGCAGTTTAACTATAATGTGGGTAGAGAGGTTCTTTTCTGGTTGTGTCAGTTTATATTCTAAATAATTCCTCTATCTGGAAGTTTACTTCTTTTMCACAATTTGGGATATTCCCTGCTATAATTTCACTGAATAGGTAACCTGTGTTCTCGCCTTTTCCCTCTTCTATGCAGTTTATGCAAATGTTTGATATTTTAGTGTATTCACTAGATCTTGTATTTTCCTCTCATTCTTTTTTTTTCTTATTGCTGTCTGAATATATTATTTTGGCAAGTTGTCTTCAAGCTCTGATTTACTTGATCCAGTTTGTTTMTGATGCCTTCAATTGAAAATTTTTTCGGACTTATAGAGCTTTTCATTTCCAAGATTTATTTCAGGTATTTTTTCCAAAATCTCTATTTCTTTATTCATATCCTGCATTGTCTTCCTTAATGCATACTACTGTTTATTTTTCTTCTCTTTGGTTTCTGTTATTTTTTATTCTCCCAAGAGAATTTCATTGAGCTTTTTAAAGATTATTCTTTTGAATTCTTTGCCTAACTTTTCATCCACTTAGATATCTTTAGAATCTTTTACTATAGAGTAATGAACTTTAGGAACTGTTATATTGCCATTTTTTAAAACATTTTAAATCTACTRGATGTTATTACAATATCACATGCTTTCTTTATGATAAAAAGTATCCTTTGTTTGTTACAATTACTTGTTAATATTTTGATTTGCCATCTGGAGGACTGTTTTTGTCTTATTCACATCTGTGTCAGCAGTGCTTCTTCGTACAGTGTCTGGTGTTTATCAGAAACTCAATAAATAGAAGATGATTGTATAAATGCATGTATGAACACATGGTGGTCAGTGATACTGCTTACTGTGAAGAAGTTTTCTCATCAGGAGCTGTTTAAAAAATCATTCAACTTCACTTTTACATTTTCGTTTTGTCAGGTATCAGGTTGAAGTCRGCATACTCATGGCATATTGACTTATATAACATATATTAAGAAGTTTCTTAGTCTTAGTACTGTATCTTACTAGCATAGTCTTATATGCTGTTGGAGGGATATTAGGTCAGATATTTGAAAATATGTTGATTTCTGAAATAAAAAGTCGTGTTTTAGTTACAGTTCTAATCATGTTTCATTTATGTGTTTTAGTGTTCATATTTTAAAAAAATCTTAAGAGTAACTCTTCCTTTCATTGTTTTTGTGGTAACACAAGAAATTTACTAGTCTCCATGAAAATTCATTAAAGTTTCTCTTCTCTTCTGTCTTCTGCTTTGTTCATGTTGTTGTCTTACTGAATCTCATTTAACTATATACTAGGCTCAATATCTGAATACATTATTTAGGGAAAAAATGAAAAGTGAATACAAGTAAGTATTTCCTAGATGGAGAAAAGTTCTGAGACATCATCAATATCAAGCATTGTTATAATGTCACGCTGTAAATGATCTTATATTCTTTTCTTTTGACATTTATTTTTTTATATAGTTGGTTTTTATTAACTTGAAAGTGTATTGAGATAATTGAAATCTTAATTTTTAGGTTATAATTTGGTATTGGCATTGAGTTGTGGGATTTTTAAACTATTACCTTTGATATTGAGCTTTATGGAAGATCATTAGCTAATATATAAAAAAGTATTAAGTATCTAGTGTTTTAAGTTTTAATTTATCAAAATACTTTTTGTTTGTCAGAGAATTATTCTCCTGCAAGTATGGTGACTGAAGTTCTACGGATACTCTGTGATCAAAAAGAATGTGCAATTGAATGCTTATATAACAATACTGTGGTAGAGACACTTCTCCAGCCTGTTCATAATTTAATGAAGGGAACTGAGGTTGGTATTAAGTCACTAAAGACAAAAAGTGTCCCTAAACTGAGTATTTATAATATTTAATTAGACTTTATTTTTATGTATTTGAAATATTTTATTATACTCTGTTTCCAAAAATGAATGTATTTTGTTTGATATACATTTTTATTGGTTAAATCATAGTTTATACAGTTGCTTGATTTAATAGATATCACATGGTCGGGGAATACACAGACATCTTAATTTTTTTCTAATCATGCTTACTTCTACAGATGTAAAGAACTTAGAATTTTTTTTCTATTATGAAGCTATTTGTTTTACAAATCTAATAAATCTTCTAACTGTCTTGTTATTTGATTAAATGGCAGTTTTATAGCCTTTGGAAATATGATTATTATCCCAAAGAGCCAATTCTGTTTTACGGTAAGTAAAACTAGTATTACCWTGCAAAGAAAGCTTATATGTAATTCCAGTACTGAACATATGATGTGTCTTTATAGTTTGCAATGTGTGCTTCCTTACATTGTATATTTTTTCATAACTGAGACTGAAGKAAGTGACTTGCTCAAGATCAGGCATTTAACAGGTGGCAGAGTTGGTGCCCTTACTAGTCCTGCTATCTATCCAATGTGTCCCTCTGCTTGTATAAGTTAAGTTTRTAGAAAATGACTTTTAGAGTGCATCAATAGATTAAAAATGTTTTTGTCTTTTCATACCTGTTTTGTTGTGTTTTTGTTAGACTCATCTCCCTCTTAAACTCGTACTTTCACGGACTATCACATACTTTTCTGCTTGTTGTTTTCTCTGGATAAATTTCAAAAATGTTAACTTGGTATTTACCAATGTTTTTTGTGTTTTTGTCCCATTTTTTTCTCATATATACTAGTTACAACAATCCATTTGAATATTCTGTATGAGATTATTATACATTTCTATCTTTGCATGCTTTCTTCTTACCCTGGAAAATATTAAACTTGGTCCTCATGAAAAATTCCTCTCTTTAGACAAGATTTTTTCTTTAAATCTCCCAAACTAAGGTGTTTGTTTTTCTATATTCCCATGTTATATACTTCTGTAATTGTACTTATATTTGAATTTATTCTTGATAGCAGAACCAGTCCTCTGGCACATAATAGAAATTTAATAACTAATTGAAGTCAGTCAGCATCACCCAATCACTACTATGTCATTGCTTTGCTCTCAGTACTGAAAATGTAGACGTGAATAAGACATGTTTATTGACTTTAAGAATTGTATTTTCATAGGTGAGGCAGTCTTTTGAACAAAATATATTTAAAATGAGGAATAGAAAGTTCCAAAGAAAAAATGTGTCTATGAGAGAATACATACATTCTCATAGATAGGTATATATAAATGAGATAGTTTATCTATACAAACATATTAGAGAACAAAAGTACTCTAGGTGAAATTGTCCAAAAAAAGATATTTAATATGAAAAGGAAGACTAAATATAATTGAGTGGATATTCCTGTATATTTTCAGGGAATATTCCGGACTTATCATTTGTTAAACTAACCTACCAAATTTATTCGATTGTATTAGTGGTGACATACATATTTTAAAATTTATTGTAGAGAATATGTGCACTGGCATCCATGAAAGTGTAAGGAAATTATAAGCAGACCTTGCAAAACCCAGAAATTATTGTAGATGGAATCTAGCATTAACATAGTTCTCTAGGTTTTGTTATTTGTTTTGTGCTATTTTGCTATGTTTTGGCAAAGGCATTTTACTACTTAACATTTAAAGGAAACAGTAAATATGATTGGTYTGGTTTGTTTGCTTCCCGGGTGACATTCCTGGGTATTGGCTAACCCATGAACTGGTGGTCTCAGATTTACATTCCTGAGTCAATCAATGTATGAAGGGATGATGTTTCTTAGGTAGGGTGGCAGTATTTTAGATCCATGTGATATAATTATATTGAATAGTTAGGAATCTAGTGGGTGAAAAGTATAGGGAAAAGTGGAAATAGAGGGAGCTAGTATGTTTGTTAACCAGAATTACATAAAAAATATATATCAGAAGCAGCAATTTCCAATAATTGGATTCGGTGAAAAATCTTCCTCATCAGTTGTTCTAGGAAAATAATATAATCTAATGATACATTTCATTCAGTCATATTATTTTCACAGCCAAATGAATCGTTAAGTATTTTTTGTTGTTGTTGTGGTAACATAACTTTATTAGACTACATACCTTCCATGATATGTCATAAAATTTTATAATTTGTCTTATCTTTTTAATGTACAGACGGCTCCAAATTGTTCTGAAACAGCTTTAATTCATATAGCTGATATCTTGGCCAGAATTGCTGCTGTAGAAGAAGGACTTATTTTACTTCTTTATGGAGAAAACATGAATTGTTCTGAGGAAGAAAGGTATGTACCTACATTTTAAATCTAGATGGCTGTTGCAAGTATAGTTAAATTTCCTAATCAGCCACTAATAAAATGCGAACTGATCTTTAATATGATCTTTTTTCAAAGTGAGAATAGAATCTTCATTCCAGATGGGATCTTTTTCCCCCTTCTCATATTCTCCCTGGGACTTTCTCTTATATACTTCCAAAGCCACCCATGATTGGTTTAAGTCAAATTAAAGGTGCACAAAGGAGAAACTATTTTTTCTCTTCCTTCTGTATAGTCACCTAGTTCTAGATTTTCAGTTAACCAGTGGTCACCTTTTGATGCATTAGATGTACATACATACAAATGTTTATTTTCATATCCTCCTTCCAAAATGTATTGCATTATATATATTACCCYGCAATTTGATATTTTATATGTAACCATGAGCATTTTTCTGAGTGCAGAATGAAACATTTGTAATAGTTGCATTATACTTTTTTTTTTGGTTTATCGAAATTTATTTAAAAATTTCCCCTGTTGATGGACATAATAAGGTTTTATCTAGGAGATTTTTTCCTACATAAATAGCCCTACAGTAATTTTTTTTCTTCATTACCTTGTTGGTATAGTGGATTACATTAATTGATTTCGGGATGACAAATAGCCTTATCTACCTAGAAAAAAATCCCACTTGGTTTTGTCAAATAATGGTTGTTTTCTTGTTGGTATAGTGGATTACATTAATTGATTTCGGGATGCCAAATAGCCTTATCTAACTAGAAAAAAATCCCACTTGGTTTTGTCAAATAATGGTTGTTTTTGGTTTGCCAGTAGTTTCCAGTAGTTATTGAGGACTTTGGCTATGTTCATGAAAGATATCAGGCTCTAGTCCTTGTGTTATTTTTGTCAGGGTTAGTATTAATGGAATCTGGTTTTGTAAATTAGGAATTAGTCCTTGTATTATTATCTTGTGGAGGGCCTTGTAGAGAACTACTATAATTTCTTCCTTAAATATTTGATAGAATTTGCCAGTTAGCCAATTAGAGACTGGTGTTTTCTATTTCTATTGGTAATAGATTCAGTTTTATTAATAGATGTAGGCCTACTTATATTATTTCCTCTTGTAAGTTTTGGAAGATTGTGTCTTTGAAGCAATTGGTTACTTAATAAATTTAGTRAATTTCTGGCATAGTTTATAATATTCCCTTATTATCTTTATATTTGATATTTTATATGTAACCCTTCTTTCATTTCTGATATTAGTAATTCATGTCTTTTGTCTTTTTTTCCTTAGGTAACCTAATTAGAAGCTTATCAATTTTACCACTCTTTTCCAAAAACTAGTACTTTTGCTGATTTCTCTGTTGATTTCTTGATTTTAACATTATTGATTTTTTTTGATTCGGATTTCTTTCCTTCTACTTACTTTGGATTTAATTTATTCTTCCTTTTCTAGCTATCTATGGTGGAAGCTTAGATGAGTGATTTTAGGTCTTTCTTTTATGATATATGTATTTAATATTGTAAATTTCCCTGTAAGCACTGCTTTTGCTTCACTTCTTAAGTTTGTTTGTTTTTGGATGCTGGGGATTAATCCTAGAGTCTTAAACATATAAGCAAATGTTCTGCCACTAAGTTCCMTGATTTTGCTAAGTTTTATTTTTATTTTCCATTTAGTTTAAAATATTTTAAAATTTATCATGATATTTCATTGATCCATTTGTTTTTTATAGGTCTGAGAGTGTACTTTTTATATTTTCTGTTAGGATGTATTTTGTGGTYTAACATTGTGATATGTTCTGTGTGAGCTTACATAACGTATGTTTTTCTGATATTGGATAGTCTGTAGATGTTAGTAATATCTAGTTGCTGATGTTCAGTTCAACTCTGTCCTCATTGACTTCTTACTGAATTTGTCAATTATGATAGAGGAGTGTTGGAATCTCTAGATATATTACTGAATTCATATAATTCTCTTTGAAGTTGTATCATTTTTGTTTTACATATTTTGATGCTTTGTTGTTAGGTGAATACACACTAAGAKTTGTTATTGTCTTGGAAATCTGACTTCTCCTTTGTCKTATGATAATTTTCTTTGAAGTCAAKTTTTTTGAAATCAACATAGCTATTTATTGTTAGCATGGTACATATTTTCTTCATTATTTTAATATATTTGTGTCTTTATTTATAATGTAGGATTCTTATAGGCAATATTCAATTGGGTCTTATTTTTGTAATCCACTCTGAAGTCTTTTTCTTAAAATTGCTGTAATTCGAACTTGATAATTAAGTATTGATTTAAATGGATTTTTTGTCTATCAAATTCCTTACTCTTCTATTTTTTGTTACCCTTGTTTCTTTTTATGTGTTCTACTTTTTCTGCCTTATCTGCATTTGGTTGAACATTTTGTAAATCCATTTTTCTCTTCTTTTAGTATATCAATTATCATTATTTTTGCCACTCTAATTAGTGGTTGCCCTTAAGTTTGTAATACACATTTACAAGATAATTAATAATTATATTGTTTTAGTTATGTTAAACCCTCTTTCAAATAACGCYCTTCAAAGAATCATTTTTAACACAGTAGTGTGAGAACCTCCTAATTCCTTGCTGTTATAACATTGACCTCATTCATTTTTTTCATATGCTATCATCACCAAATTCTTTTTTGCAAAAGTTATTTTGAACAGAATTATTCATTGTGTCAATTTAGTAAGAAAAAAATGTTTTATGTGCTTTTATCTGTGTCTTATGTGCTAGCATTTTTATTTTCAGTAGGATCATCCCTACAAGTGATCTCTCTGATAAGAGGGCCTTTTAAGTCTTATAGTTCTGACATTATTACTTTTCAACATACAGAGTTGTATCTTCTTGCCAGCAATCTATGAAAAGCATGAGGGGTGCCCTTCTTTTCATATTTTTGCCAGAACTCCATAATCAGTTTATGAATATTTTAGAAACCTGATGAGTGAAAGATCTTCTTTTGATCCATATTCACCTGATTCTTTATAAGTTTKAGCATTGTATTATTCCTGTGGAGAAATGGTTATTACCCATTTTCATTTCCTTAATAGTAAATTTTCTTTTCATATCACTTGTCCCATTTTAATTTTTTCACTAATTCATAGTTGCATATGCAAACAGTAAACATGCAAGACCTAAGAAGCAGAGTTTCTTTCTTGTTCTCCAGAGGTGACTGTTTTCAGCAGTTTTAGGAGTGCATTTATTTTTTTATCTCTATTATCAAATAATGTGCTTATTACTAGTTGATTTTTTTAAAGATTTAAGCATTAACCATTTACTTATTTCAGTTTATCTATGTTTATGTGGCCTGTCATCACATACAAACAAATACACACCTAGTTACCCCCTCAGAGCAATGCTGGGGTACAGTAACCTTGGGTACAGTTGTTCTGTATTTCTGTTGTTGTGAACATTCTTCACAGCTGAGCCATGTAGTATATGGTTATTATGTATCCTCCTTTCACAACTGCCCCACTCCCTTGGAATTAATCAATGTCTTTTCTTTTTTGTTTCTTGGCCCAAGTTTTAATATACTTAGCTTTCCTTGTAATGCTGAATTATTCACATGGTCTTTCTTATTTGATTAAATTTTCTCTGAGTATAATTAAATACACACATACACAAAATCTGTTAGTTTAATTAAAGACATCTATTTTGGAGACTTCTGACTAGTTTCTTCAGGACTGGTTGTTCCTTGGTCCCATGCATGGGCATCATTTATCATCTGTATGGGATAGCTTCTTTTTTTTTTTTCCTTTATGGAAGCTTTTGGTCTTCCCTTATCTATTATCATTCTGAAATTTTATGATGTTTCTTGATATTTTACTTTTATTTACTTGATGGACTTTTTTTTTTTTTTTTTAAGGAACCGGGGTGCTTAGATGCATTTGGCCATTGAGCCACACCCTACCCCTATTTTGTATTTTATTTAGAGACAGGGTCTCACTGAGCTGCTAAGCACCTCACCATTGCTGAGGTTGACTTTGAACTTTCGATTCTACTGTCTCAGCTTCCTGAGTCACTGGGATTACAGGTATATGCCACCACAYCCTGCTTGATGGACATTTTTTATCTGAAGTTCATCCAAAAATAATTGGATTTTTTTGTCCTCTGCTTTTTTCTAAAACTTGTGTATTTGGATTTGGATTTATCTGTACCATTTTCTATCCATTTTTTACCTTCTTTTTTTAACCCACTGGGAAATACCTCCACTTTTCTTTCCACCCCTTCCATTAAAACTGAGTTTTTCATTTAACTTATATTGCTTTAAGGAACAAGTTTTATCATTTTATCTTATTTTTGGTTTATTAATACAATATTCTTTTTTAAAATTTCTTTTAAATTTTTTATATGTGGGGGCGGAGGATCCAACCCAGCGCCTCACATGTGTGAAGAAGTGCTCTACCACTGAGCTACAGCCTCAACCCCAGTACTCTATTCTTTTGCCTCTAAGGGTAATTAAGTTTCCTTCTCTCATACTTTTTCTTCCAATTGCCTTTAGCATTCATTGTATTAATCTCTGTCTTTTTGAGTTTTCTTTGGATATTCAAAAGGAAGAAGAAAGCTTTTTGAAAACTATAAGAAAGTGCAAATTGTCATTTGTGGTCTTTACTATAAGGGGAACCTTGCTGCTATGTTGAATCTTTGGTTTTACTTGTGTTCTGTAGAATTCCATAGAGAAGCCTCCTATAGTTAGCTGCCTGAAGAGAGTAAGCCTTTTAGGAGAAGGAGGCTGGGTGGAAATGGTGATGGAGTTTAAGCTTTAGCATACAAACTTTGATTTAATCCTGTAGAGCTTTTTCTCCCCTCTTCTGTTTCTCGATCTCTGCCTAACTCCCAGGAATCACACTGGGCTAGCTGCATGAAGTATGAAAGAGAATGTGGAGGTCAGAATCGTTTCTAAACTTATTTTTAGGTAGTTACTCTATTTTCAATTCCACTCATACCTCAATCCAGTATTATTTAGTTCCACCCATTTCTGATTTTTTTGAGAGGTTTTATGCAATAAATTATCTTGATTTTGTCATTCACACTGAGGCCAGTTGAGATTTTATGAGTTCTTAGTTACTCCTTGTTTTTCTACTTTCCAGGTTCTTAATTTTTGAATTTTAGTATTTGTAGAGAGAGTGTTTTATGTTTTATTTTAGTGAAATATAACTTTTTTTWAAATTAGGAAACCAAACGTAATTTGTCATGAATTTTAAGATTTTTTTCTCTCATTTAATGCATTGAAGCTTTTTGTTTCTTTATAAACATTAATATTCATGTCATCAATTTTTCCCCATCTATCATTTGTAAGTTCTTTTTTAAAGAGAGTCTCCCTCACATTTAAGCTAAACAAATAAGTCATAAGRTACCACAGAGAATTGTTTTTGAATCTTCATTGTGCAGTTAAAAGAAGATATTCTGATAATTAGTAAAAGACTAGAATCATCTCAAAAGTCCASTAACAAAAGGTTACTTATTCAGTTAGGCTAACACAATGGAACACTGAACAGCTAGCATAAAAAAGGCATTAGCAATACTTTTATGAAGTTCTGTGTTCTTACCTTAAGGATATATTGTTAAGTGGGGGAAAAAAGTGCAAAAGACTGTTTATTGAATGCTGCCTTTTGTATAATAGAAGAGAATATGAATATAAATCATTTTTATATTTTCAAAAGGAAATTGTGAATGAATAAACTAAAAACTAATGGAAATAGTTTTAGGAGAAAGGAGAGAAGAAAGGGGAGAAGTATGAATGGAAACAAAATACATGAGAGTGTACCTCGATTGTACTTACATTTGACTCTGGCATCATATAGTTGTCTTAGGTAGTAAATATCCAAGAAAATTAAAAAGAAGTCACTGTAAAATAGATAAATAAACTTCCGGTCATGCAGAGAAAAAATTAGTTCAAGGAATCTAATTTTTATTGAACATTTCTTGTGGATTATATTCTATGTTAAAAAATTCTTCAAAGTAATTGTAACTACATTCAGTATATGTGTAGAAAGAATATTGATATTATATTAAAATTATTATGCACAATTTTAGAACAAAATAAGAAACAGTATAAGGAAGTAAGATTCTTGACATAAGAGAAAAAATATAAAATTGAAGAAGCTAAATAAAAACCCTGACTATTTATATATAATTATGAATTTATTTTTTTTCCTTTTCAAAGGTTACATTTTCATAGCATTGCCACTGAAAAGTCCTAGAAGTAATAAACGCTTAACAATGRGGTAGAAACTTAATGTGGTTTTATCTATATCTCCTTGTTCTAAAAAGAGGCAGACATTCCTGACAAATAACTGATTCTTGGTCTGTGCCAGGAAATGTTCAAGATGATCCTGAGATATCTTTACATTCTAGAAATCAAGAAAGATATCTAAGATCAATTGGATAGTGTCAAAAATACTTCAGAGCTAACCAGAAGGGGCCTTTTATTGTCTTCATAGATKAACAATTTGAGTATCAAAAAGTGATCGAACTATTTCAAGTACATAAAAAATGCCTGGGTTTAAAATATACTAAAGTTAAAAAATCAGGAAATGGACTTTTTCAGTTGTTTGTAAAGTTGCTATGCCACCAACTCATTACTTTAAATGGATAAAAAAGATTTAAGTATTTTCCAGCCTTTCCTGTAAAATTGTGTTTTAGTATAACAAGTTACTCAGGAAAAATTCTTCATAGCAGAATTCTAGTTAGTAAAGGCAAAGGAAATTATCTAATTAGATAATCCTTAATGAAATGGTGAGTCTATAAAAGGAACATTAGTAGTTCCTAAAATCATTAGATGAAAAACTGATGGTAAGGACTTCCAATTGGAGGGCTGATACCATCTGACCAACTGATTTTTAATATCACAAAAATTGGGACAACCAGATATGTGCTTTGTGAAATAAGAGCCACATAGCACCTATGAAACTATTTTGCCTAAGAGAAAAGAGTAATAAAATGAACTTAAATCTAATTGAGTCTTAGATCTATATCATCTTATAGGAAATATGGAGAAATAGAAAAATAAGTTAAGTAACATCAAGGTGAAACAATTATCAAAAGTAAAAAATTCTCTGAACAAGTCGTTGACATGGGCAAAAAGAAAATGGGAGTCTAAATAATAGCAACCTAATGCTCTCTAAGGAACTGTTTGAATTCTAATTTGAGCACACGTATTGTAAAAAGACATCTTTAAGACATCACAAGAATTTTGATGTGGCTTAACAGGAAGTTAAAATTTTTAATTACAACCACAAGAATGGGAAGTTATACTCCAAAAAGTGTAATATTTCAAAATACATTCTACTGTCACATATAACTAAAAAAGAATAAGTAAAAACAGAAAGAGTTGCTTGTAAAAATTGTAATTAATTGTTTTAGGTGAGGATATTGGCATTTAAAGTAAACTTTTGTCAGATGGACACTGGGTAACAAGTTGATGTCTGGCATTTTATCTTGTATTAGGCTGGTGGCAGGGAAGGAGGTCAGAACATAAACAAGTCTGCCAAAATGTTCAGAGCTATTGAAGGTAGACAGAGAACACAGAGATTCTATGCTCTATTCAACCTACTTTCTACTTTTTTTTTTTTAAATTTTTTTTTTTTTTTTTAAAGCTAGAAAAAGAAGTCTGTTGCTGTGGAACTAGAGAGCCTATGCTCCCCTGATTCCACCTTGTATTAGCTGTGTTATAGTGTATATGTTACTTAACTCTAAGCTTTACATGTCTTTATCTATAAAAGTTGAATAATATACCTACTTTTTAAGGAATACAGTAAGAAATAAATGCATTTAAAATAGTTAGAGCAATGCCTGGCACATTATAAGTATTTTTATCTATTGTTGTTATATATCTATTTTTCCTAGTAAAWATGACTCAGCTCTTTAGATGGGGAACTGAGTCCTGCTAATGGGAAGGGGTATGTGACAATAGTGGTAAGAATGAAGAATTTAGTATTATGTTTTCACTGTAAAATCAAGAATACCTTAATATATGGCCCASGGCACATGACATCTACAACCTTTTAAATGTATTCTAGTTTTGCTTCTTTTTTCCTATCTGGATAGTCTTTCCGTCATTCCCCTGAAGCAGCTCTCATTATTAGACATCTACACTTGGGTGGRAACCGGAGTATTTGAAATGTAGTAGAAAAGCTGGAGGATGACTAAAAAGAATTAAGCAAATGAAGAGTTTTTGTGACAAGGCTAGACTTTTTGGTAGTACTTTATGAAGTCAAGATTATATGACCTTGGAATCACTTGTAGGTATCACCCTTTAGTCTTACAGGTGCTCATATAATTGCCCAGTTTTCGAAGAAACTTCTTGATGAGGATATTTCTATTTTTTCTGGATCAGAATTGTTACCTGTGGTAAAAGGAGCTTTTATTTCTGTATGTCGTCAAATATATGGTACATGTGAAGGCTTACAGGTGTTACTGCCTTATAGTTTGCATGAATCTATAGCGAAAGCATGGAAGAAGGTAAGCATTTTTAAGTTTCATTTTTTCCAAACTGCAGATGTTTACTTCAGATATAGGCATCATCGTAGTATCACATTGTGCAGAAAATATTTGGGTTATCACATTTGACTTATTTAGCATCAGAGTATTCAGGGGACACAAAGCTTCTTAATCTGATACAGGAGGACTTCACTATTTCCTGAGAATTAACAAGATACTTTCAAAGTGTTTTCCTCTGATAGGAATGATTTTAGATAAATTCTCTTTGCATACAGTAACGTTCTTCTTTGGAAGTTACTTCTGAGACATTTTTGGAGGAAAGTTGTGTTTTGTTATGGATGGTGGAGAATATAATGTAACAATAACTGTACAGTATGTATGTATTAAATGAATTACTAAGCTTTTATTTTTGTACATTTATTTATATACTCATTTATGAAATACTTTATATGATGCTTAACAGACATAAAATAAGTTTTCTGGGTAAACTAATTTAAGTATATAAAGCACAAATAAAGATKCTGTACAAGAGATATTATGACTAGTGCTATCAATAAGAAAATGAATAATGTAAATCAATCTGTTAATTTTTAGACAAGTTTGATGTCAGAAAGAGTTCCTACTCCAGTAGAGGGTTCTGATTCTGTTTCTTCAGTAAGCCAGGAATCCCAAAACATGTAAGTAAAATTGGTAAACTCATCTGTTCATTAGTTTGCTGAATTAATTTTAAAATAATTTATTGAAATTATTAAACAATAAATAGACAATTATAAATATAATTATAAATAAAATTGTTATTAAATTATTTAAATTGAGTACTATGGCAAAAACATTTTACAAGAAGGCAATGTTTGTATACAAGTTTAAAGTAAATTACAGTTCAGAGAATTTTGTGATACTTGTAACCTTTAAAAAATTTTAGCAATATTTATTATACTTGCTTCATTCTGTACTTAATTTTGGGTTAGGAAACTTGATTTACAGAATTGATTCCAGAAAATTGTGGAGAATTACAAGATTCTAAAAATAAAATTTTAATTGGAGTGGTCAAAATAAGTAAAATATTTTCAAATGTTAGCAAGGCCCATTTATACTTAAATATGGGTGGGAGTGCTGTTTAGTTAAGTTTTGGAATTTGAAAATTATTTAAATCAGAATTTATTACAATTTTTGATTTAGGTGTTTCTCATTACAGATATCAATAGACAATGGAGTCAGGTTAATGGGGAAAATATTTTTGTAAAAAGTAAGATCTARGCTGGGGATGTGGCTCAAGTGGTAGCGAGCTCGCCTGGCATGCGTGCGGCCTGGGTTTGATCCTCAACACCACATACAAACAAAGATTTTGTGTCTGCCGAGAACTAAAAAATAAATATTAAAAAAAATTCTCTCTCTTTCTCTCTCTCTGTCTTAAAAAAAAAAAGTAAGATCTGATGACATGTTCCTGGATTTGCTTGTAATTTTATAATTGACTATTTTTCTTAGTCTGAAAAGATAATCATTAGGGAAAACTTTGAGGGATTTTTTTTTTTTTTTTTTGTAGAAACTTTTGAGGTAAATTTAAATTTTTTCTTAGAAACTTTGGAGGTAAATTTAAATTTTTTCTTTTTCTTTTTTTTAGGTAGGCATATTTAAATTTAATCTACTAAACAAAGATGTTTTGTGTTTTTTTTCTTTTTTAAATTTTGTTTTAGTCATTGATGGGCTTTTATTTTAAGTATTTATATTTGGTGCTGAGAATTGAACCCAGTGTCTCACACATGCTAGGCGAGCACTTTGCCACTGAGCCACAACCCCAGCCTGTATTTTCTTAACAATATAATGGTTCAATAAATACTTAATTCTCTAGAAAATACTAAATATTTTTTCCTAACACAGGAAACACTTATATTAGCCGCTGTTTTTTTTTTTGCCTTGCTTTGAGACAATGAGAAGAAACATATCTGTATTTTCGTTTTTAGATTTTTTTTTTACTTTGACATCCTTTCATATGGCTTGTCACTTTTTCATTTTCATTCATGCATCAATTTTCCACYCACTCATCCAATTATTAGACTGAGTGACTACTCTGTTAATTTCTGAGGATGCTTACAGACCTATGGGAACATAGTATGTAGTATAGATAGAGTACAGTAAAGACAGCATGRTGGTAGATTCTGCTAGCTGTATGATATGAGCTATAAAGGGTTTCTTGGGAGCCAACTTGTGGGGAAATCTAGAAAAAATAATTGTTAAACTGAGTTTTAAAGAATACATGAATACTAACTGAGTTWAAAAAGATGAGGATGTTATTTCAAATGGAAGAAATAATGTGGTCAATAGGCTAGAAGTGATAGGGCACATAATTAATGTATTTAACATTTTATGTCAGTAATATTTTTAGACTCTGATGTTAGAGGGTGAAGGAGCTAATAAATTATATGCCACTCACTCACTTGTGAAGTCTGAAGCTATTAATAGAGAAGCCAAGCATACCAAAACACTGATTAACATGGACTTCCTAGTATTGGTATCAGGAATGGGACAAGTTGAGTTCAGTTGCAGTTGGCAGTGGGCAGCTACAGGCTTCACTCTAAGGCAGAACTTGATGCCATCAGAAAGCTGTGTAGGAGAGTAGAGCAGAATGTGTGATTCCTACAGGCGGATGGGTCCCCAAAAGGAAGTGGACTGGAGGAGAGGCCTTACTTAGCCGGTTATGTTTAATTCACCCTTCAGATTTTCCAAATTTCTCCTTCTCTCATGTAGGAGGAGTAGATATTTAGGAGTAAGTGCAGAGAGACAGTGTTAAAATACAGATGTGCTACACATGAAAATTTCTTTTTTCCTTTTTTAAAATTTGTTTCTACACCAAAACTTGATGCCAGGGAAAAAGGAGGTTCTCCAACCCCTGATGTTATTATCTGTGTTAGAGCTCTTCATAGAGACAAAACCAATAGGATCTATTTATATATCCATATGTATATATAAATCCCCATAAATTTAGGGGAATTGACTCACATGATTTATAGAGGCTAAGTCCCACCCAGGTTTTCTGTAAATTGGAGACACTGATATGCTGATAATGTTGCTCAAAGTCTGAAAGTTTGAGGACTGGAGATCTTCTGGTATATATCCTGGAGCCCAAAGGTCAAATAACCTGGAGTTCCAATTTCAAAGGAGAGAAGAGGAGTGTATCCCAGCTCTAGGTTAGAGACAGGCCAATTCCCCCTTTCTGTTTTTTATTCTAGTCTATCTCAGCTCCTAATCAACTGGATGGTGCCTTTCTACATGGGGCTGGGATAGATCTTTGCCACTTATTCTCCTGAGATTCTTGCATTATTTATCTCCTCTGGAAACACCTCATAGACACATCCCCAAATAGTTCTTTGCCCGTTTTCTAGATATTCCTTACTTAAGTCAACATCTAAATTATCTATCACAATGTCTTAGAGAAATAAAAGATATAATAAAGCTGTTGATAAAATAGTCAGAACTGTTTTCATTAGAATTCACTTTACCTAACAGAGTTGAGTTTCTTTCTTCTTTTGCTTTATTGAGATAGCTGATGTAAGATAGGCATTATTTGTTTCTTGATTCTTTGGTAAAACCTGAATGGATAATCATCCAGAATAGTTTACTAGGCTTATGTCTGCAATAGCAGGCACCAGATAACTATTCCTTGATTGAATCAATTAAAGAGTTAATGAGTAAAACTTTCCCTAGCCCCCAATTCTAATGACAGTACGACTAACATTGATGTGATAAAGGTAAAATTAAGAAAGAGTAACCAGTATAAACTTAGTATTTTTGTGTTTTAATAATTTTGATCTTATATTTTATGCTCCCTTTATGGGTGCTTACTATATTGAAGATAGAAGCTGATGCATAATACTGTTAGGGTACTGATGTCCTTTTAATCTAAAGATTGATTCAAAACTCCAAAAAAAAGTTCTACAAGTTTGCTTTTCCTTTTTTTTTAAATTTATTTTTTTTATTATTTTTTTATTGGTTGTTCAAAACCTTACAAAGCTCTTGACATATCATATTTCAAACATTAGTTTCAAGTGAGTTATGAACTCCCATTTTTACCCCAAATACAGATTGCAGAATCACATCGGTTGCACATTCACAGTTTTACATAATGCCATACTAGTGACTGTTGTATTCTGCTACCTTTCCTATCCTCTACTATCCCCCTCCCCCCCATCTTCTCTTTCTATCCCATCTACTGTAATTCATTTCTCTCCTTATTTTTTCTTCCAATTCCCCTCACAACCTCTTTTATGTAGTTTTTTATAACAATGAGGGTCTCTTTCCATTTCCATGCAATTCCCCCTTTTCTCTCTCTTTCCCTCCCATCTCGTGCCTCTGTTTAATGTCAATCTTTTCTTCCTGCTCTTCCTCCCTGCTCTATTCTTAGTTGCTCTCATTATATCAAAGAAGACATTTGGTATTTGTTTTTTAGGGATTGGCTAGCTTCACTAAGCATAATCTGCTCTAGTGCCATCCATTTCCCTGCAAATTCCATGATTTTGTCATTTTTTAGTGCTGCGTAATACTCCATGGTGTATAAATGCCACATTTTTTAATCCATTCATCCATTGAAGGGCATCTGGGTTGGTTCCACAGTCTAGCTATTGTGAATTGTGCTGCTGTGAACATCGATGTGGCATGGTTTTCCTTATATCAATGACTGCAAGCTATTTGAGACTATCATTAGGATCACAATCGAGAAGATTGTAATTATAGAATAAAACAAGATGCCAAACCTACCCCAACCAACCTTTAAAGTGCCTTTGGTCAAATTGGAGGGATTCTTTGAACTGCAAAGTTCAACTGTGATCTCTCCAAAATTAAACACCAGAAATTTAATAACCATGAGTGCATCTAACTCTCCATATTTGCTCATTTGAAAAATGCAGTTCTTCATGCTAACAAAGCAATCTTTGCTACTGCCCCTCCCCCAGAATATAGAGTGATAACATTCCATGGTCTGATCTTCCTTCTGGCTTGAAAATTTGGATACCTTTACTAAAATTTGAAGGAAATATAAACAATATTAGCAGAAAATATCTACTAAAATATATGCTTTTATTCCCCAGAATTATATGTACTCCTTCATATCATGCAGTGACATGATTTTCAAGTTCTTTTGTACCCCCGCCACACACTTTTTTGGGAAGGAGTCATTTAAACTTAATTTTCTTTAATGGCTAATGTAAGATTTCCATTTCTTCTAAGTGACTTTTGTTTATATTTTCCAAAAATAGCATTTTATCTCTGTATTTACATATTTTTATCATAAATTTATTTGAGTATTTGTATGTGATTTAAAAAGAAAATGTTCTCCAGTTGCCATTGTCTCCACTTTTTTATTGTTAGTATTTTTTTACTTTTTCTCTCTTCTTTACCAATTCATTACATTWGTTTTTAAGATTGGATTTGGGTTTTATAATGTTCTCTTTTCCTTTCTCCCTCCTTCTTTACCTCTCTTATTTCTGTAGTAGTGCAAAGTGAAAAAGGGATTGAGAATGGAGATTGGGCAAATAAATCTACATTAGCCACACTCACTAATTTTGATGTGTAGCACTTTCATTATTAAGCTGTTTTATGTACTTTTTGAAAATTTTATTTTAGTCTTTAATACATGAAATATTTGGGATGTATTTTCTAGTTTTCATAGTTGTTACTACTTTATTTTATTTTTGATTTAGATGCTTTTCAGAGACCATCAATTGTATGTGTATCTTTTTTTATGTTGGTTAAATTTACTTTGTGACCTATTATAGGGTCAGTTGAAAGAAAAATCTGTTTGCTTGAAAAGAATATTCTTCACCTGAAAGCTGGTTATTTTGTATATGTGTGTGTGTGCATGTATATATATATATATATATATATATATACATGCACACACACACATATATATAAAAGTAATTACATAATTTCTCATTCTTATAACTTTGTTTTAAATTTTACCATATTAATGTTGCTAAGTTCATTTTGCTTTAGTTTGTATTTGTATACCATATTAGTTAAAACTATTGCATAGAACTCAGTAAGACTTTATTTTCTGCACATAATAATTCTCAAGAATATTCAGACATGTTGTACTTGTGTTTTGTGTTTTGACCCAATCTTTAAATTTCKTTTTCTTTTTTTTTTTAAGGTGAGTTTAGGGTTTTTACATTTTACATTTTTCTGATACTATTTTTGGGGGCTTATTATTTTTTTTCTTTTGTATTTTATGTTGATGTTCTATTGTTTTTTTTCCTCCTTTGCTGTCTTATTTTAGATTGATAAAATGTTTCTTATTCTGTTTTTTTTTTAAAGTCAGTATCACTAGGATATCTGTATATATATTTAAGTATATCTAATTTTTGTGGAGGCAGGTACTGGGGATTAAATTTAGGGCATTTGGCCACTAAGCCACATCCCCAGCCCTATTTTGTACTTTATTTAGAGAAAGGGTCTTACTGAGTGGCTTAGCACCTCACCATTGCTGAGGCTGGCTTTGAATTTGCAATCCTCCTGTCTCAGCCTTTTGAGCTTCTGGGATTACAGGCCTGGGCCCTGTGCCCAGCTTAATTTATATTTTTTAAGTGAAAGTCTAAAGTTAGTAGGTATATATTTCATGTCTTGAGATGCAACATGGATCTTAGCACACTTTCATTTATTCTCAATGCTTTTTAGTTATCTAGAATTTTGCAATTTATTTCTTTATACTGTCAAATACTAAATTTGTTGAATATGTTTAGTATTTTTAATTATTATTTTAAAATTTGCCATTTGTTTTAATAGTCTTAAGTTTCCATAGTTATCCTTTAATTATTCTTTAATAATTTTTTTTTTTTTGTGTGTGTGTGTGTGTGTATTTGTGTGTGGTGCTGAGGATTGAACCCAGGGCCTTGTGCATGCTAGGCAAGCACTCTACCAGCTGAGCTATATCCCTAGCCTTCTTTAATACATATTGAGGGTGGTTAACTATCTTTATCTTTTTATGTCTGAAAATGTTTATTTTCCTTCCAACCTACTGTCTTCTGCCACCTACACACATATTTTCTCTTTTAAGTGGTAGTTTATCTGAATATAAGTATTAAGATAGAGAATTATTCCTCATCAATATTTGGAGCTCTTACTCTATTGTTTTCTGGAATTGATGGTAACTTATATAACCCCTTGTTTTTAGATAATGTAAGTTAATCATTTCTCTAATGGCCTTTTAAAAATTGTTTTGATGTTTGCCTAATTTCTGTGATTTAAATATATCATTTCTGGTCCTTAAAGTATTTTATCAATTTTAGAAAATTATTATTATTTTTTTAAACAATACATTTATTGATTTATTTATTTATTTTTATGTGGTGCTGAGGATCGAACCCAGTGCCTCACATGTGCCACAACCCCAGCCCCAATTCCAGAAAATTCTAAATCCTATCTTTTAAAAATTTTAGTTGACAAATAATTTTATATGTGTGTATGTATATACATGAAGTTCAGTGCTTTTCCAATTTTTTTCTTTTCTTTAGGGATCCTTTCAATTTTTTCTGAGGAGCAAATAGTTGGTCTTTCTTATAGGTGTGTACTGAGAAAAAAATTGACATTTCCCCCAAATAAAATAAAAACCTATGAAAATAAAATGATAATGTAGAAAATATGCTTTAGAAAGTCAGAAAACAGAACTTTATAGTGAATAGAAAGTACAGAAATAATGGAGAGTCATGGCTTAGAGATTCCAGAAAGAGCAGAATTRTAATGGGAGAGTAGAATAAACTTAAGGCATGGATGAGAGAAGTGGTGGAATAGAAATGCTGACATATGGAGTTAATATTTAATTCAGTGAAGGAAAATTATTGGTATAGAAGATATGGGAATAAAATAAATCACCATCTAAGAAACCATTGTTTCAGTTCTACTTAAAAATGTCTATTGAGTAGTTAGCTACCATTTGTGTATGCATAAATTTATTTATTGGCTATCATCTTTCTTTTCAGTTGAGTGTACTAAAAAAAGCTCTTTCTTTTACCTGTTTCAGTATGGCTTGGGAAGATAATTTGTTAGATGATTTATTAAATTTTGCTGCCACTCCCAAAGGATTACTACTTCTTCAAAGAACAGGTGCCATCAATGAATGTGTGATATTTATGTTCAACGGATATGCAAAAAAACTACAGGTATGTATTACCATCTGTCACAGAAAAAAGGAATTTTTGTTGTTTAAAAGCCATTAAGAGCATCATTCTGTTCTCTGTGCAGGGAGAGGTTATTAAGTCTCAATTAAAAAGCCATATAGCATCATAATACTTGATATTGTTTTAGGAAAGCATTAGAGAGTTGATATTGGTGTCTGTGACTGTGTTTACAGAATTGCAAACAGCCAGATGGAATTTAAAAATTCAGTTAATCATCTTGCTGTTTTTATAAATATGATATCAAACATCTGTATGTACTGAAACTGGGTATAACTTCTAGAGGAAAAAAAACTTGAATCTATATGTATGTTTGAATGTTTATGCTTCAGTGTTTAAAAAGACACAAAATTATTTATAGAAGGATTATATGTTTTTAATTTTAATTGAGTATATATGATAGCAGAATGCCTTTGAGTCATTGTACACAATTGCAGCACAACTTTTCATTTCTCTCGTTGTACACGATGTAGCATTGCACCATATGTGCAGTCATACATGTACCTAGGTAGAGGGATTAATTCTATTGTTAAATAAAATTTACAATATGAGCTAATCTTTAATTAGATAGTCAGAGGCCACTGAATTGTATTCAGTTTTCTTTTGAGTATATATTCCTAGAGATAYGGTCCTTTTAGGATCCTAGGTATGTTTTTTTATTTTAAATGTTTTTATTAGAGCATTGTAGTTTATATAATAGAGGGTTCACTTTGACATAATCATACATACATGGAATATATTTTGTTCTCTTTCAGTGCTCTGTATTTCCTCTTTTCCTCCACTTCTTCCCCTTTCTGTATTCTACTGATCTTCCTTCTATTATTGCTTTTTTTAAATTGGTGCTTTATTGCTTTTAAGTGTTTTTCTCTGTTATTTCTTGGCCTTCTGGCTAAGATCAAGTGTAATTTTTGTTGTTACCAGTGTAAAAGTGTTTTCCTTCTCTGTCTTGTTGCAGCTGTGGTGTTTGACATTATTAGATTGCTTAATGCCTKTTTTTTCCCCCTTCTTACTGTCTTTAATTCTAATTTTCTGCTTTTGTTTAAATCTATAAGAAAACAAATATTTCAATCTTTTGTTGTCTGTACATATGAAAAACAAGTCATTTCTGAATGAATTTCCCTGATTACATTTGGTGGATAAAATGTATCTATATTGGTTCATGGTCTCATGATATTAGGTTTATATGTGTAGATACATGATTTTATTTTGTTTTATTGAAATGAACTTCTAGTATAGAGAATATAGTTATATCTGTGCTTCAATGCTGTCTTCATCCAGTGCATGATTCCTCTTTTATTGAACATTGGACTATGAATTAAGGAAAATGGGAAATGTGACTAATAAAGATAGAAAAGAAAGACAAACTTATAAAGACATGGCAACAGAAAATTTGAGAAATAAGCCTTACTTTCCCCATGTTTTGTTTTTAGTTCCTAATTTGTAGTTTTTTGCCCTTAAAACTGARAGTACAGTTTGTATTTTAAAAGTCTGAGATTAAAAACAAATATGTTCAATGAAATGTTTAGAATATATAAACTCTGAATGGTAGCTGTTCAGAAGTCAGACATTTTATAAACACGTGACTATAACCAGTCTGAGGCAGAGTTCATATTGTAATATATTTCTCTATTTTTTATTCTGATTTATGCTAAGCGATTTATATATACTTTGGCACTGTACCCTGAATACATATATAATATTTGTAAAACAAATTATTTGAGAATTTTTACAGTGCTCTATTATTAACTGGTATATTAACAACTGGGACTCTCTTTGATTATTCCCTTCTTTAGGAATAGTGCCTCTAAAAATAATTGTCATTTTAAGAAGAAATCAAAGTTGTTAGATGGCTTGAAAGCATAATAAAACTGGAAGTCAATAGAGGTTTATTAATAAGGACATTTATTGAGGAACCAACTGAAAAAGTAGTAATAGGGCAATAAAATTTAGAGTTGGAGGCACTCTCACTTTTCATCTGGTTTGTTTCTTATTTTATGTTTAAGGAGACTTAGGTCAAGAAAGGTAAGTGACTTGTTGAAGGTTATAGAGTTAGGAGCAGAATGCAGATCTGAAATAAGATTGTCAAAATTGTAAAGACTCCTTTTTGTGTAGTGTTTTGATTTTTTTCCTGCTGTTATCGTCTTGAAGGAATATTTGATATTCCTATTAATAAAARCAGTAACTCTGTATATAACATGTATGAATGAAACATTAGCATGATTTTTTTTTTTTTGCATCTTATTGCTGTCTTATTTACTTGTTAGATAAGWAGGCAGAAAAAGTTTGGCTATGGAGTTTTGGTTACACAAGTGGCATCAACAGCAGCAGGTGCAGTAGCACTACAAAATTCAGGTAAGTGTTTTGTTTTAATTAAAAGTATAGTTATTTAGAATGAGCAAGAAAACTGAAAATTTAACTGGTATGATCAAATATCAGGATATTTACTCATAAGTTCTTTTATCCAAGTTAAGTTTTATATTGAACTTACAGGATTTCCTTATTGTATTTCCTTTTTCATGAAATTCCACTGAGAATTTTTTTTTGTATGAAATGTATACATTCTTGTACTTTTTTCTTAAAGCAATGATATGTAATGAACTAAACTGAAATATACTTGATGCTTTAAGAATCTGTCATCATTTTATGAGCCAGGATATCATCCTCTTTTGGATACAGTCCCATCTGACAGGATTCTCTAAGGCTTATTTTCAGTGGCTTATATGTATGTCCAAATTCACATTTATTTATAATGACTATCATATATACATACCATTTCCTTATGCCTTTTCTTGACCCTTTGAAAGCATTTCTAATCACTCAGCCTACACACTAACTTTGGAGTTTACAATCAGTATTATTCAATATCAGTTGGAATTGTTAGAAGTTAAAACACTGGGAACTTAATGTGTCATATGTTAAGGTTTACTGAGTACTGAATAAGGTATAATTCCTAATAGAGATACTGATTGTATTTTTAAAGCTTAGAGTTGATGAATCATGACATCAGTGATCACTATTGAATCTCTCCTTAAATGAATATGTATTTCTTATAGTACATTTTAATTTATTTTTTTGGCTGAAGTAATTTGTGCTACTTGCATAATGAAACATGTTTTTGGACAATAAGTATCCTAAACTGAACTACATGTGTTTTTCTTCTTAGAATAAAATTCATGTGGTATATGGTACATAAAAGCAAATTAATTGAAGCATTTGAAGTCTAGATTCAATTTCTGATCTTATTCTTGGTCAAGCCATTAAGCCTCTGAACCTTGTATCATCAAATTATCAAGCTTTAAAAAATTATTTATTTATTTGTGGTTATAGATGGACAGAATGTCTTTATTTTRTTTATTTTTGTGTGGTGCTGAGGATTGTGAGGWTTGAACCCAGTACCCCACACATRGTAGGCAAGCATTCTGCCACTGAGCTCCACCCCCAGCCCAAATTATCAAGCTTTTCATGAGAGGGTTAAATGCAGTTTTTTTCAGGACAAAAGCAGGATGATTTTTGCTGCCTGAGCTCCTATGATGTTTTGGTTACAATACTAGGAACTTTACATTTATCATCCCACTTATACTTCATGGGAACCCTAAAATTTACTATTATTATGTCAGTTTTCAAATGGGGRAACTGGGCTCCCAAGATCCCAAGGGATCTTTCCACACATGTACAGCTAATAAACTGGCAGATTTAAAATTTTAACCCTTGTATTTTTGTTTTAAGAGCCTGCATTTTTCTGTTATATGAGAGGACTCTTACTATTCAAATATTATGAGCTTACTGAGATTATAATTAGATATTTTTACTTTTTCTGTATGATTTGATTTTTCATGGAGGAATTCAATAATCAAGTTCAGCACTCATTTTCATTTAGTTATATAGTATTAGACATGAGAAGTATTTAAAGACTGTTTAACTTTTGCTGTGACCAAAAGACCCAACAAGAACAATTAGAGGAAGAAATGTTTATTTTGGGGTTCATGGTTTCAGAGCTGTCAGTCCATAGATGACTGATTCTATTCCTCAGGGCCTGCAGTAAGGCAGGACATCATGGTGGAAAAAAGTTGCAGAGAAAAGCAACTGGGTGCATGGCACCAGGAAGGGATGAGAAAAGGGGGAAAGGGAGAGGGAGTTTCCTTCATTATGACAAAATATAAAATCCAAAGGCATGCCCTTGATGATCTACCTGCTCCAGCCACACCACACCTCCTATCATTTAACTTTTTGGAGATACCACATATCTAAATCGTAGCCGCATGGTTTAGATATGTGGAGGATGCCACATGTCTAACCATAGCAGTATGGTTTGGTGTCCCTCAAAAGTTTATGTGTGAGACATGCAAGAAGGTTTAGAGATGAAATTATGTGTTATGAAGGACTTAACTTAATCAGTGCATTAATCCCTTGATAGGCATTAACTGAGTGGTAGCTGAAAGCAGTGGGGTGTGGTTGGAGTTTGTAGGTCATTGGGGGAGTGCTTTTGGGGTTTATATTTTGTCACAATGAAAGGATCCCTCCCCTTTCTCTCTTTTTCTTTCTCTCTTTCTCTTTTCTGGTGCCATGTCTGTATTGAAGCAAAAGTTATATGAAATGCAAACTTTTTCTAATTATGGAATTGGAATTGCCAAAAAACATACTTATGTTCTTTTGATGCCTACCCTGTTTCCTTATACATTCTTTTCTCTCCCTTCATACCAAAGCACACAGCCTTTCAGGCTGTCTTGTGCTCTTAGCTCATTTGCAGAGGAAAGTATAAATCTTATAATTTTTAAAAAGAAAAACAGAGCTGTTATTGGCCAAGGATGAAAGCTTTAACTCAGATTCAGMAGTCATTTAGAAAAAGTTTTTCAGAATTTTTTCATTGAAGATTTTTATGGTGTTGGCGTCATAAAAATATACTGACAATAGCAGATATCATTTTTATCAAGAGTGGAGATTATTTCTTATAGAATAAGCAAGTATATATCTTCTGTGAGAGTAGACCAGTCTTTCACAGAGATGATCATCTTTCTTCCATAGGAAATATTATATTATAAATATGACATGAATTAATAATTCTTCCTAGGGTTTATTAGTGCACTTATAACTGAATTATGGTCCACTCTGGAATGTGGAAGTGATGATGTTAGGGTAACCCATCCCAGATCTACGCCAGTGGATCCTATTGACCGAAGCTGTCAAAAGGTAAGAAGTTATTTAACAAATAATATACATATTTGAAATGTATCTTACAGAAATGACTTCATTCAGGCTTTATCTATGTTTAGTTGTAATCAGAATACTTCCCTAATATGTCTTCCCTTCTTTTTCATATCTAGTTTTTTTTTCAAAATAAATTTAGTGAACAATAGAAATACCAATATTTCTTGGTAATAACATTTTCAAATTTGCTTTTTTCATATTATTTTTATTAGAGTTCTTTCCCTTATAAAGAGTAATAATGCACCAGTCATGTTATGAAGAAACAGATCCCCAAACAAACAAAATCCAAGTAATGAAAACAAAAATCCAAGAAGCTTTTTGGCTATAGGCTTGAATATAATAAAAAATTTTCATGACTATTTGTCATTATTATTTGGTGGGCAGAGAGAAGATGCTATCATTTAGAATAATGTGGCAGAAAAAAAACTTTAACACCCATGTAGTGTTCTGTATAATTAAATGACTTTTTTACATTAACCTATTCATTTTATTTAGATGAAGATGATTCCTAAATTGACTTTATGGGAATGTGGATTATTTTTTCCAAAGGTTGTCACAAAATTAGATACATAAAAAAAGAAAAACCCAACATTTCAGAAATCCCTCTTTCTAGACTGGTAGACTATTTTACTTCTGTAAAAACTATAAATTCTGGAAAAATAATTTAAAATAGAATGGTTAAAAGTATTGCAGTGATGAATAAATAGGCAGAAAATGAAAGAGAGTCAGTGTATGGATGGTACTACTTGACTCTCTGGATTTATCAGATTTTTGCTTGAGGACAAATACCAGTTGATACTCCATAGATAGAAATATAGACTAAAACCCCTAAAGAACCAGAATACACATTTTAGCCCTACAAAGCAGCTGGAAAATGGAGGTAGTTCCCTGGGAAAGATTATGCCATGTAGATGCCRCTTCAAACTCTGTACATATATTTTCTTTCTGAGATATGTAGCCTAACCCTTAAACAATGAATTAAACACAGGCTAACCCCTATTCTTTAAAGTAAGCGTGAATTTCTAATTTTGTAGAGATTGCAGATCATGCCTACCAAAGATGTAAGGGTTTAGAGGTTGAGTCCAGCCAACATTAACTGCTAAGTTAAAACAAAACAAAACAACAAATTTAAAAAACCTACATTTTCTTTAGGGAATTTAACCAATCCAGAATCTGTGTAATGAATTTAATATATTCACATGATGCCTGAGATACAACCCCAAATTATTAGATGTTTGAAGGAAAAGGAAAATATGATTTATACTTAAAATAAAAAGCAACTAAGACATAATGGTGAAATGAAGAGGTTGGAATTATTTTACAAAGATTTTTAGCATTTATTAGAAATGGAATCTGAAGGAAAATATGCATACAATGAATGAATGAAGTAGAAATCACTGATAAACAACAACTATATAAAAGAGCCAGATAGAAATTATTAAACTAAAAAACTTGTGTGAAACAAAAATTTTCAGGTGCATTTAACAGAAGATTTAAATATGGCAGAAGAAAGAGTGAACTTAAGCTAATAGAAATGATAAAATCTGAGATTAGAGGGGGGAAAAGAAAGATTCAGTTGTTCATGAGCTAAATGGAAGTCTAAATTAAGATGATTGGAATAATAAAAAGTACATTCTATGACAATAATAGAATTATAAAAAGTCGAAAACTAGAAACTAGAAAAATTGGAAATTAAACATCATACTTCTGAATAACAGGCCGTCATAGAGAAAGTTACTAAGGACACTGGGAAGTATTTYAAACTGGATGGAAATTTAGTGTATCAAAATTTTTGGATGTAGGTGTTAAGAGTGATATTTTTAGCTTTAATATTTATATTAGAAAATAAGAAAGATCTAAAATTAATGATTGAAGTCTCTACTCAAGGAAGCTAGAAAAAGAACAAGTATCCCCAAAGCAAAAGCAGAAAGCAGTAATAAAGATTAGAGCAGAAATCAATGAAACAGAACAAAGACAAACTAGAGAATGTAACAAAGCCAAAAGTCAGTTCTTTGAAATAAATCCTCACTAATTAGGGAAAGATCCAAAATTTTGAGTATTAATAATGAAAGTGGTGTGAATGAAGATCCCACAGATGTAAAAGACCAATAAGTGAAAAGTAGCATTTATGCCATTAGTTTAACAATTAAGGATGGCAAATTTCTTTAATGATACATATAACTGAACTGARCCACCAGTGGTCGTGCAGTAGGTTCATGCGGGAAAGCATGAATTGTACTCTTGTTACACTCTCACTTCTTGTCTTCTGAGATTATTATTATTTTATTTTTGTACTGGCCTAAGGGCCTCATGCATGTTAAACATATGCTCTACCATGGAGTTACACCCTCTAGCCTTGAAATTACCTCTTTGAGCCACTTTCTGAGTACTATCAAAATCATTTCCTTTAGAACTTTCTATCCAAAAAGTAAAACATACTTTTCACTTATTTTCTGAAAACAGTTGTTAGTTCCTCTTTTCATAGAGGATAAAGATAATTAAATAGCCACATCTCTGGAGCCAGCCTGCTGCCTGTGTAGCCATCTTTCTCACCTCTCTTTACTTTGCTATGCAGTGTCATCCTCCTGATAACCCACCACCCCTCTCTGTTGTATAGTACCATAGGGCTATTTAAGGCACTGATTGAAATGATCTAATAGTGTATTTGTCCTACACTACTCTGTGAGTCCTTGAGGGCAAGGAGTATTCGTTTACTCATATTTTTTATTATTAGCATCTTGCATAACTAGTGATAATCTTCTGGAGTAAAAGTATTCTGAATGAATAAATAAGTGAATAGATGATCAAATCACCCTGAAATATTTTTAATGCAAGGAAAATTTGTGGCTTTACATGATTACTTTTATGTTTTAGTCTTAAACTGTATTAAATATTTGACCTCCCATTTGTTTCCTTATTATTGTACAGTACATATTCGTTTCTTCAAAACAGTCATGAGTAGATTTCTGTTTTAAGCTAATACAAATTTTAAGCTAATTAAYGTCTGACACTAGCAGTACTTTTTAATGTATTTTTGTGGGAAACTAATGTAAATTGTAAAATTTTTAGTTGTACAACTGCTTAATATATACCAGTTTTGCAGTATGCTTTTGTTTTTAAAAATGCTTAGCATGTAAGAAATGGATTTGTTTCTTCTAGAGATAAGCTGCTGAAGTCTTCTCGAATCTCTTTAAAATTCTGTTAAGGTTATTTTAGTTTAAATATATTTATTGAATTATTTTTGTCAATTTGTTTAGACTAGAATATCAGAAGTTAACATAATTATATATGTGGTCCAAATTGTTTCATTTCTTAAGAGAAGAGGGTTCTCTAAATACAGATGGAGTTGTTCATATATAAATAATACAGAAACCCTTAATGTATTATGATACATGTGTCATATAAAAACCGTATGGTTTGTTCTATCACAATGGACATTTATTAAAAGTTTTTTTGTGATATGTTATTGTTATAGTTATAAAAGCCATTTTTAAACTTAAAAATATTTATTTATAATAGTATCTAAATATTGCTGGATTCATATTAAGAACAATATGAAATGTTTGCATATCCAAATTATAAAGCATTTTAACTTGTTCTTTTAGTTTATATTTTCATGATAATATTGAGTTGAATTAAAGTCAAGCTGTTTTGAAATCTGTTTCATTAATCATCTTTCTAGTCAATACCAGGTGATTAATTTATGTAGTGGTTTCCTAAGGCCATGAACCCTTTAGATTCCCTTCAAATTGATTCTCTATGTGTTTAATACACGTACTCCCTAAACATTCTTTCCTTGATTATCAGCGTTTTTCTTTAGTGCATACTTTTAGATTAGTAAACTAACTTTAAATGACAACTAAGTTTTTATGTTGACAATTTTATAGCTATCCATATACTTTAAGTCATAGATTATGTTTTTTYCATGTTGGTTAGACGTTCCATCTTCAGGAATATTACATTATTTGGAAAAATATGGATACTTAAAAAAATTTAGTGTGAATTCATATTTTATTCAGAAATAGTACTTGTTTTAATCCCTTTAGAACTGAATACATTCACCATATAAGCACCATTATTTGTTAAGTAACACTGCATTTAGTATAAGGGAAGAGATATAAAATAAACTCTCCTTTCCAGGTTTKAAAACAAGACTGTGGAATGGTTATACTGTTAAATAAAAGATTATATTATGTTTTGCAATGAGTAATTTTAACCTGAAAATAAGAAATTACGGAGTAGTTCTGCCATCACTCTTCTGAGTATGTGTCTTTGTTCCAGCCATTTATTTGGTAACTTAAGTTTTTCCAGGTATTAGGTGAGACATTGAGTTGTGTTCTTTTTAATTTTCTAAGTTTAGTGGAAATTGTTTAAAAATGTTAACTATTAAGTAGAACACTTAATAACTACAAATAAATACGATTAATATTATACAAGCCAAAGGTGTAAGTATTGACAAAGTAAAGAAACTTCTAGAAGTAGATGGAGTTAATTGGAAAGTCTTAGGACAAGATATAGTGAGAACCTTGAAAACTAAGTGAAGTGGTAGGAGGAACTTGTTAGTATGAGTAAGAAAAGTATTTTGAGGTGGCATTTAGTTAAGAGGAGGCTGAAGGCATATTTGAAGTGGTGACTTCAAGCTGGGGAGTAATGGAATGAGGATTTTGAGATGGAAGAGAAGAAAGATGTCAATTACTGGGTAAAGTGCCTTGAATGTCAAACTGARGAGTTTAGCCTTGGTGTTGGGGATGGACAATCACTGACTGAATGCTTTTGAGTTGGGAAGCCAAAGAATGAARTTTGCCTGAAAAAATACTCTTATTTGCTTTTAAGTGGATTAAACAAAGTGAGGAGCTTAAAAGTTTCATGGAGCGGCTGGGGTTGTGACTCAGCGGTAGAGCGCTCGCCTCGTACATGCGAGATCCTGGGTTCAAGCCTCAGTACCACATAAAAATAAATAAGTGAAATAAAGGTATTGTGTCCAACTATAACTAAAAAATAAACATTAAAAAAAGTTTCATGGAAGGTTTATCACAGTAAGATTGTACTAGAAAAATGAGGTTGTTTTGATAGGAAAAGCCATGACWTTTTAAAATTAACTACAATGTATAGACTAGTTGGATTTCTAGTGGATGTATTAAAAGATGATCTTATGAATGAGGGCAAGAAAATACAGGGTGTATTGYCTTGCCTAGAGTTTCTAATTCTTATTTTCTTGACTATCAGATATAGTAATATGAAGAATGACAGACATGGGTAATTTCATTTTTTTGTTAGAACCAAATTTTTAAGAGATGTATAACATTTTAAAATGTTTTCTAACTCTTCTGTATGTTCTGTAATAGTTGTAGTATTATGCATCTTCAATGCTAGATTATTAAATGTTTTGTGCTTATATATAAGTGTGCTATGTTGATGTAGATTAATTAATTTTTTTWAAAAATTAGCCTTCATAATGAAACAAATATAACATTTGACTCTTTCCTTGGATATTGTTGGAAAAAACAAAAGAACCATTCAAATGACTCTTTTCTCCCCTCTCTGTAAGTCTTTCCTAGCACTGGTAAACTTGTTATCCTATCCTGCTGTATATGAGCTCATAGGCAATCAAGAGCTTCCCAACAAAGTGGAATATTCTCTTCGTGAAGTCCCAACATGTGTAATTGTAAGTCATTTTCTTTTAATTGTGATTTGGGAAAAAAAGAAGAAAAAAAATAAACCACTGTTTATGGCAGTTAAAGGCTAATTTGATTATTTATAACCAAGGATTATGCATTCTTTAATTATCATGAGTAGAGATCTAATCCAGGCCACTTTACTGCCCCTGCATGCATCAGAATACAGGGCTGTTTCTCCTCTACCAGGAAAGTGATTTAATCTAAGCAGAAATCTATGTAGAAATGAGTTTTAGATGATTCATTATGTTATTAGTCATACAGTACTGCTCCTTCATTGGCTAGGATAATTGGGAATAAATTATATCCAAGGAGTCCAATACATTTTCTACATATGTTTTAATGAACTATATATTATTGCCCCATGAKGGCAGTATATACATATTTATTTAATTTGAGACTTGTTTTATACTCAGAAAGTTAATTTAACCTTTAAAGTATATTTATCTTTGGGGTACATTTATGAATTAAACACATAAATGTAAATATATGCATATAAACATGAATAAATTATTATTTGACACTGAAATTCCATTATTAATTMATACTTTTTTTCTAATCATTTTGTCCCATATTTTAAACACAGTTTTGTTCTTTTGAATACTCTTAACCTTTACTAATCCTAAATATTTGAACTTTAAAAAACTTTTTTTAGGAAAATTTTTTGATAACTTACGTGAAATGAAACATAGACCCTTGTATTATTAAAGTTTTATCTAGCTTCTGTTATTTTCTTGAAGTTTTCCAGTTTCCTCTTATGCTTAAATTTTATCTCTTGATGCCTCTTAAGTAGTTTATATAGTTAGTCATTTATACACTGGTCTCTATCACAACACTGGAGTAATTGAAGGAAAGAGGGATATATTGTCAATAGAATCTAGCAGAGGTAGACATCCTGTAAACAGTTATTAAAATAATTATTCTCAATATTATTGGCTTTAAAGAAATGGATTAAGGAAACAGGTATCCATGAGTTTTCTTATTTAATGTAGAGCAAGGGTGTGAATGTTTATTTTCTTATTTAGTGTATATTCAAATTTATCTTTTCACTTATTGAAGRATTTGTCTTCTATTTAACCTTAAGAAATTTAACTGAAAATAGTTTTATTACTTCACTGCTCCCMAAAGCACTATATTTCAACACTGTAGAAAAATCATTGCTTTCCATCATCTTTTAAATGCATATAGATTTTCCAACTAAAAGTAACAACTCCCTTGATCTTTGTCTTCTTATAGTTACCACCCTGTGGTTTGCTTTCTTTCCTGAAAAATCACTTGTACTTGAAGTTGGTATTTTTTTCTTTTATGGATTGAAGAAGCCACTGTAATCTGGTATCTTGTCTGACTGCCTAACTGAAATATTTCTGCCAAAAATCAATAAATATTTAATTCCCTAATCCCAGGGAAACTCCCCATTCCTTTAACTCAATTTACTACTTTGCATCATTTAATACATTTGATTCACTCCTTATTGTCATTCTCCTCTCCCCTGGATATGGGATATACTTCTCCCACTTTCTCTGGTCTTTCCTGTACTTCTTTTCTTCTGTTTGTCACATAGCCTCTAGAATGATTTCATTGAGTTTCATGGCTTCACTTGAATATTGACAACTCTATGACTTTTATCTATAACTTTCCTCCTAGATCTGTACTTTGATTCCCTTAGATAATGGGCATCTGGAAAATTCATTTGACTCTTGGGCTTAATGATTTCTACAACAGAATGTAGTGTTTTTCTTTCCTAAATCAATTCCATTTTCTGTTTTCTTATATTAGTATATGACACCATCATGTATACAATTAAACAAGCGAGAAACCTGGAAGTTGTTGCTGACTTTCCTCTATAAATGTAATAAATCACCATCTTCATAAACTTCATCTTTCCAATACCTTTTTTCCCCCATTCCTATTAAGACCACCTTAGTGCAGACCCCTATTTCTTTTCTAGAGTACTTAAGTGAGACCCTAACTGCCTTTTCTTTCAGTCTCAGCTTATAAGTTATCCTCATACTAAGCAGAAGTAGTGTGAAAACCGGATGCAGTCTGGTTTTATGTGTGTGAGTGTGTGTATGTGTATGCATTTGTGCACACATGGAGGCTATTTCCTTTCTATTGTGGGCATTTTCAAGCTTGCATTAAAAAAAACAGTATAATGAACTCTTATATACTTATCACTAAATTTTAGTTTTTATGAAAATTCTACCTCTTTTCCAGTTTCTTCCTTTTTACTTCTGGTTTTGTCTCCTGAATTAGGTATTCCACGCATAATGTCAGTTTGCCAGTAAATAATTTAGTATGTGTCACTGATAAGGACCTTTTTGTTTTTACTTTGATTTGAATTACCACCATAAATCCTAATGGCATTATCATCTCAAAATACTGGCTATAATCTCTTGATAGTATCTAATAYGTAATCCATATAGAAGCTTCTGTCATTGTCTTAAAGTTATTTTTTTTTTTACAGTTGGTTAAGTCATGATCTAAACAAGGACCATATGTATACTCAGTCTTCATGTCTTCTAAATTCCTCTTATTCTAAACAGCTTTCCCTCCCTTTTGTTTCCACACTATTGATTTATTGGAGAAACTGGTTTGTTCTTTTTGTGTTTCACTGATTCATTGCTTCATTAGCAGGTGTGAAGTGGTGATTCTAATTCTTTTTTTTWAATTTAAATAAAATTCTTTAACAAAAGGTTTAGTAAAGGTAACCCTGAAATGCAGTTATTTCTGGAAAGACAGAATAACTTTTTGATGGTTTGTTAATTTTCAGAGTAATGATTGGTGCTATAGTTATCTCTAAAAAGGAGGTTTTAGTGTTATTATTATGAACTTCTGATTTATCTATGTATATGTTTGATCCAGTGCAGTCTTTTTTTGCTTTTGATTTAGATATTCCTTCTTTGCTGTTGAGTATTTTGAATATTTGCACATATCCAACTGTTCAATATATTGCTTTCTTATGTACGATGTTCTAGACTCTTTTTGTACATTTTGTGGCTCAGGTATAGAATGATCCATCTTCAAAGACTTTTTTTCCTTTTGGCAGAAATTGTTACTTAAAAACTTCCCTAGGCATCATAGTTAAGAGTTGACCTTATTTCTGTGCATTTCAGTAGATAGAGAAGGGAAATAGCAGATTGTTTTGTTTTGATTATTGAGATAAAAATTAGTAATTYGTATTGGTATTTTTTATTTACTTGCCTTTGTTTTTTCATGAACAGTCTTAATTCTTAAGCTTTTTATTACATGGACAAAAATATTTATTTGCTGTATGGTAAAATGTACATGCAATAGTTTCAAAACAAAATACAGTCAACAAATGCATATTTCATTTCTTTGTCCTTAGCGTATGCTTTGGGGTTTTATAAATAAAATTCCATGATTTAAAAATCATTTGATGTAAATAAACCTCTACCACGTTAGCCTCTAAATTTCTGCTTTGCCTGATTTACCACTAAATTAATAGGTTTGTTTCAGAATGTTTTAGAATTAAAGAAGTTTTCACTTCTTTTTTTCTTGCCGTAGTTAAAATAAGATACCAAATTATGAAAAACCATTATGCAATTTCGATATATAAGTAGGTACATGTATATAATATGCTTCTGTATTAATCCTCCCTCCTCTTCCCCTTGTAGACATTGATCTTTAATACCATACCTACTAGCCCAGTTTCTATTCAAATCAAATAATAAAAATTATATAAAATAAAAAATCATTATTTTTAAGTGCTACCCACATTTCAAATTTTCAAATACCTCCTCTCTGCTTGATATGATAGGCTAGTGGCCACCATATTGGACAGCAGAAATAAAGAGCATGGCTATTCTTACACTGCTTTATAGGTAACAAATTTGTTTTTTTGGTCTMTTTTTTTCTAATGTCCTTTTAAAAAATATGTTTTATTTCCCTTTAAGTTTTTTTAAGCAGAAGAATACATACTGTAAACACTGACCTGCCCTTTACATTTTTCTCATAATTACATATCTTGGATTATTTCTTAGCAGAAACTAGAACTCTTCTTTATCCATTTTCCTCTGTAAAAGTCACATAATACTTTATTGTGTAGATGTGCTATATTTTATTTATCCAGTATCCTATTGGTGGAAACTTGTTTTTTTCCCATTGTTTTGCTAATAGGAATGATGTCAAAATTATTAGTCTGGCTTATATTTATAAGTGTGTCTTTATCTTTTCTATTCCTGTACAACAAATTCCTAACAAACCTTACAATTWAAAACAAACACCCATTTATTAGCACCTAGTTTTGTAAGTCAGAAATCCAGTACAAACTGCCTGAGTTTTCTGCTTAGAGTATTACAAGGCTAAAATCAAGTTGTTGGCAAGGCCAAGTGCTCCTATAGAGGCTCTGAGCAAACATTTACTTCCTAACTATTATTATTGTGGCAGAATTCAGTCAGTGGATGCAGGAGGGTTTAAGTGTCTGGTATTAACTCTCTGTCTGCCAGTGGTTTCTTTTACTTTCTAGAGGCATATCTCAGGCCTTTGTTCTTTGGCCCTTTCCATTTCAGAATAGGAAAACTCGCCTCATATCACATCTCTCTCATTCTTGGAATCTCTCAGAATTCCTATTTTGTGATCAGGTTGGGAAAACTTTGCATTTAAATTGTTCATTTGATTAGAGTTGGGCCTTCTAGGTAATCTCCCATATCAAAGTCACTTRATTAAGGACATTAGTTACATCAACAAAATTCCCTTTACATTAGTTTATTTGTGTTTAAAACCTTAGAATCTTGGAATCTGTCTTAGAATTCTGCCTACCATAGTATCTTGGGGCAGTGTTTCCAGAAGCATGATTACTAGATTAAAAAGTAAATTCATATGTATTATATACCATACATTGCTGGATTTCCAATCACTGGGAATAATCATTTTGTCCAATCAGTACAGTATAGTACCTTGTCTTTGTAGGCTGTTTAAGAAGATTATGTGGTTGTTGGCTGCAGTGGTACACACTTGTAATCCCAGCCTCTCAGGACTCTGAGGCAGGAGGATGCCAAGTTCAAAGTTRGCCTCAGCAAGGCCCTAAGCAATTTAACAAGGCCTTAAGCAATTTAGTGAGACACAGTCTCAAAATTAAAAACAAAAAACAAAAACAAAATAAAACAAAAAAAAATGGACTGGAAATGTGGCTCAGTGGTTGGTCAGAAGGTATTTATTTGACAGGTAATATAACAATTATATTTTTCTTGTTATTAACAGAATATTTTTTCTTRTGTTTATTTGCATTTATTTATTTATTTTTGTACTAGGGATTGAACCAAGGGTGCTTTACCACTGAGGTKTGTTCTCAGTCTTTTTATTTTGAGACAGGGTCTCACTAAATTGCTGTGAATCTTGCTAAATTGCTGGCTGTGAACTTGTAATCCTTCTTTCTTCGCCTCCTGAGTTGCTGGGATTACAGGCATGAACCCCCACACCTGGCTCTTTTCCTGTGTTTATGGCCATTGACATTTTCTTTCTATAAATTTTTCATTTTTTGGGGTCTGTTTTTCTGTTTGTGTTGCTCTTTTTCTTCCCAATTTTTAAGAAATTTTTTAGATCTTAAGAACAGTATGCCTTATCTTTTCACGTATTTAGATCTACTATCCTGTGAAATTCTAGCCCCTGTGAACAGCTTTCACATTGTACTTTAGTAAGTTAAAGGTAAATGACACCAAGTATTCTTCCCCTAAAACATGTATAATTTTATATTGATTTTTAGTTACTATCACAGTTTTCAGGTCTTTGATAGTGGCATAAGGACATGGTGGTGTGTTAGATAGGGCTTTAGTCAGCTTTATTGTCACTGTGACCATAAGACCTGACAAGAACAATTAGAGGATAAAAAGTTTATTTAGGGGATCATAGTTTTAGTAGTCTAACTCTATAGAAGGCTGAGTTCATTCCTCAAGGCTCAAGGCAAAGGCAGAAAGAACATCATGGTGGAAGAGGTCTGGAGGCCAGAAGTCATCAAGGTGTCAGCAAAGCTATACTCCSTCCCAAGGCTCCAGGGAAGAATTCTTATTTGTCTCTTTGACCTATGACTTTYCTAGACATTTCATGTCTTGTTGCTGCTCAACTCTACTTTCTGCCTCCATGTTATGTGGCCATAAATCTGTCTAAAGTGTGCCACCTGTGCTTTTTTTTTATAAAGACAGTTGTCTTGGATTTAAGTCTTCAAAGATAATCCAGAATGATCTTATTTTAAGAATCTTAATTATCTCTGCAAAGATCCCCCTTTTTTGAATTGGCTAACATTCATAGGTTCTGGGGGTTAGGACACAGAAAAACTTTTTGGGAGTAGTGTCACCATGTAACTCACTATAACTCAAACAGGAGTGTGGCGTTATCCTCTACTTTCCCACTTTAAAACAATCCTAAGGAAGGACTTTGACTGGTTTAATTTTATTCATAGGCTTACCAATGATATTCCACTCAGAAGAGCAGGTGCAAGAATTATAGGGGCATTGTTATTGACCTACTCCTCACCTTTCACTTGCCTGTTTCCTAAGTAAAGGAAGTCAGTACAAATATGGCCTTTGTGACCATTGTAAATTGAGTAGGCATTCTATATAAATAGATATATATCTGTTAATATAGAATTCTATTTGTTTTTCTAGGCTTGGTCTCAGTCTGACCTGCCATATTACTGAGCATATTCTCAGGCTTGATGATACTTTTAAAAAGCGATAGTTTCCGATTACTATTTGCAAGTCCCAGGCCTTACTTTCATTAGCCTATTGCTCGGAAGCTGCTTCTTGATTTAGGAAGCTGCTTCCTTTCCTGACACACGTTATGGTACTTAGAAACTGAAGCTCTCCATAAGACAGGCTTCCCAGGAGTTTCGTTTTCTTCCCTAAGTGGTGATACATCAATGTAATCCTCTTCGAAGCAGAAATTATTTACTGTAACATTTGTTCTCTGGAAATGCATTATCATTGATAGATTGCTGCAATCTACTCTTCCATTAGCTTGTTGGTAATACAGACTCTTTGGATCATTTTTATTCCTACAGTATCTAGTACTTAGATTCATAACCAGAACTTTAGAGTTACAAGGAGTTACCAGCTATCAAATTGTCTGAACTTAGTTTTGTGTTCAAATAGCTGTGGAAATTTCAGCTACCTATACTAGTACCCCACTAATGAAGACAAATCTATGATAATCCTTTTGGGAACTACTTTTCATAGAATTAACTGGCAGCCTTTCCTCAGGTAGAAAAGGTTAGTGACACACATGATTTACAATCAGTTCTCAATTGTTCTGTGAAGATTAACTATGGTAAACATAGTGATGATAATTGATCATTTCATAAAAATTAGAGTAATTCTTAATCAGTAAAAATATCTACTTATTTGAAGAACTACATAGCAACAAGTTTTGCCATTAAATCTTACATAATAATATCCAGGTATCTGGTTGAGTTAATGAGAGTTCTGTGACTCTGATTCTATGGCTAAATCAGGGCAGTCAGAGTGGAGAGATTTGAGGAGAAGGGCAAATAATAAGAATATGACTATGCGGCTGGGAATATGAATCTCAGTTGTATAGGTCAGTGTCTGTCATACTGTTTGGATCCCATCTTTTAAAATTCACAGTATTCTCATTTTTATGTAGTTCATTAGTAATTATTGATTTAAACTCTTATGTTGCTTTAGTATTAATTACAAATTTCTACAAAGTATTGTAGAATAGTAAGTGCCTTCCTATATGTTAGGTATACATTTTTACTAGGGAAGTTTACCCAAAATCCAGTTTTGACTATGTTTTAATTATTATTTTTTAAATRTGACTGAGTTACCCATTATTTTCTTCTCCTCACAAGCTCATTCATTTGCTTCTTATTTATTTGATGATATGGTTTTTGTATCATCATTCAGAAAGGCCTGAATAAATTTTACTTCACTTCCTTGCAAAACCTTCCTTATTTTGCTATATTGATCACAGAAATATCCTCAATTTGAACTCAATGAAGGGTAGCAGATTTCTTGGTTAGGAAAATGAGCAGCGAGAGAGAGACAAATTTTTGTGTGAATAAATTTCTTAGGCCTACATCTGAATAAATTTCTTAGGCCTATACCAAAGCAGGGCATATGAAAAAGCTTTTAGAAAGTAGTAGGCTAAAATTGTCAGTGTTTGGGACAACAAGTGGCAAGTAGGTCATGAGAGTCTCTCTGCACTTGACTTAACAGTTTTGAGACCTAGGTATACTTTGGAATATCTTGGGGAACTTTGGAGACTATTAAGTCAAAATTTGAGCCTAGGCATAGTGTCTAGACAACTCAGTTGGTCTTAGGTAGAACCTGGCATCTTATGTACTTTTTTTTTTTTTTTTTAAGTTCTTTGGATGTTATGGTTTAGATGTGGTGTCTTCCSGAAATCTCATGTGTTAGCGCAAGAAGGTTTAGAGGAGAAATGATTGGGTTATAGCTTTAACCTAATCATTGGATTAATCCCTGATGGTATTAGCTGGGTGCTAACTGGAGGCAGGTGAGGTGTGACTGTGAGAAATGGTTCATTGTGGGTGTGGCTTTGGAGTATGTATTTTTATCTGGCAAGTGGAGACCCCTCTCTCTGCTTCTAATCATTATATGAGCTGCTTCACTCTGTCACAGTCTTTGGCCATGATATCCTGCCTCATCTTGAGCCCCTAAGAATGGAGCCTGCTGTCTGTGGATTGAACCTCTGAAACCGTGAACCCTCAAATAAACTTTTACTCCCTGTACAATTGTGCTGGTTGGGTTCTTTAGTCACAGCAGTGAAATAGCTTACTAAAACACTAGGTGATTCCATTGTTCAACCAGTGTTGGAAACCACTTATTAACATGAGCCAGAGAATCATTATTAATAAAAGTTCCAACAGTTATTAGATAAGGAACATTTATATTCACCTTTTATGCTTCACATTTGTAGATTTCGTATTTGCTTTTCAAAGTAGTTCACATTTTTGGCAATTTTAACTATATAAATTGTTCACTGGTTTCAAAATGCAATATAAATTGGTGGTTTTCCATTTTGATTGAGCACCAGATTCACTTTAGGAACTAACACAAATTCTAGTACCCAAGATAGACCCAAGCCAGGTAATTCAGATCTCTGGAGTTGGGACAGAGTTTCCATGATTTGTGTTTTTGCTTTGTTACAATTTCCCAGGTAATTCCAGTATAAAGTCACATTTGAGAACCACAAATCTAAATGAATATTTATTGATGTAATTTTCTTTGAATAGTTTCAGTCAACATAATCTCATTCTGTCTGTCTTCCAGGATATAATTGATAGACTTATCATTTTGAATTCTGAAGCTAAGATTCGTTCATTATTCAACTATGAACAATCACATATCTTTGGTCTCAGGTAAGGTGCTAAATTTTATTTCAAATGTTTATTTTAGTTGAATATAAATAATTATTATTTATAAAGTTAATATCTTATGTTAAATATTTTATTTTAAATATTGAAATATTTATCTTAAATATTTATATATTGCAAAAAATAGGCACTTTCTATATACCTTAAAAATATTTAACATAAACTAATATGTCTTCCTATAATGTAGATAAATTATAACAATTTTTTATACTATAGTCTTTCTCTGAATTTGGGTTCTATATTGTTACCTTGTTTTCTACTTTTACTCGATTTAATAGAAGCATGTTGGAGACTGTTTCATTTAGTTTACTCAGTAGTCACCTGGGGCTTCCCTGTGTTGGTATTTGATTAGACTCTTGCCATAATAAAGCTTTGAAAGAGGCCCAGTTGTAGATGATTTATCTTGAAGCCCACATTTTGCTTCTTGGTGTTGATCATTATTCTTCAGCTTTACTTTTCCTGAGATTTAAATATTTCTGGTCGAGTTCATATTCCTTAACATTTTATGAAGCATGTTCAATTGGAAAATAAAGCAGAGTAGGTAGGGTTATAGACTTATGAAATTCTCAAACTTTTGGTTGTATATAGATATATGACAGGCTTCRCACCTATAAATTACTACCTTTAAAACAGCTGAATTAAGGAAATTTTCCATTTTCATAGGTTCATGATTTTTTTTCTCTTTCTTCTAGTAAAGTAATTTTTTCAGGCATGAGAGAAGTCAATGATAATGCACTACTTAAGAAGTAAAGTAGGGCAGGGATTGTGGCTCAGCGGTAGAGTGCTCGTCTAGCACATGCGAGGCCCTGGGTTTAATCCTCAGCATCATATAAAAATAAGTAAATAAAATAAAGGAATTGTTAAAAAAAAAAGAAGCAAAGATATTACTTTTCTAAAATTAGAATTCTCTGTAGTATATTTTATAGATCTGTACTTTAATATTTTTTACTATTCATTAATATCAATACATTATTATTATAAAGTTAATATTTTATGTAAAATATTTTGTAATACTTTATTTAAAATATTCAAATATTTATGTTAAATATTTGTATGTTGCAAAATAGGCATTCTCTATATACTTTGAAAATATTTAACAAACTAATATGTCTTCCTATAATGTAGTTAAATTATAACAATTATTAATAGCTTCATTTTGGGGCTTTCTGGTTCAAAGAAGATGTAGAAAAGCTGCAGTTATTACAGCTTTTTGGATGGTATACACTTTATCTCAGAATGTTTTTTCATAGTAGATTTTAATTTTCAGTTTATAGCATCAGATACATTATATAGCAAGCAGCAATGAGGGTTAAGTAGGGGAAAGAAATCCACTCAATGTGATCTCCTTTTACATAGAAAATATATTTCTGAGTTTTGTAGTAATACGACATAGGTATTTGCCTGGTGTTATTGATATACTGAGTGAATTTCTTGTTTTATTTCTGTACATTCCTTGTATTATGTTTTTTCTCTAGTGTCCCTTTTAGAAAAAAAAAAGATTTAGTAGGTTTTTATTGTTATATAAAGAGGTAGTTCAAAGCTTCTGGGAATACTATTAATTTCATAGTGTATACTTTCTCATAATATCTAAGTGAAATTATTGTGTCTTACCCTCGGAAATTTACCATCCCATTTTTGATAGGTAGAATTGTAAGTTATGGAATGGTTAGCAATGTAGACTTGAGTCTGACTACCTGATGTTTACTAGTTGTGTGAGGTGGGGCACCATCACTCATCTGTAAAATGGAGGATAATTGCATTATTTTCCTAATAGAATTGTTGGGAGAATTACAWATGATAAATTCAAAGTGCTTAAAACAGTGCCTGGCATGTAGAAAGCGGTAGAAAACAGTGGTAACAATAGTACCAGTAAGCAGTGCTACATATATTTCTGTATCTTTTCTTGTTCCATTTTTCTGTTTTACTGTGAAATAATTTTTGTCTTCATTTTTTTCTAGTATCTCAGTAATCTTCCACATGCTGCCTAGTTAATTGCTAGTTTAAAACATCAGTGTTCAGACAGAAAATGACAACATCACTTTGTGAAGAAAAGTTTGTATTTTAATTATTTGCCTTTTAATAAGTTTTTCTTTGATAATCAATTGGTCTTTATTGTATTTTGAAGTTCATTCCCATAATCTTCAACTAAGTTGTATTTGAGCAATACATTTGAAGTTAGGTAATTTAGTTTTTCTGCTAATTTCAGTATGTTATTGGTCATTGAGTTCTAATAGAGATAATTTAGAACTTAGCATTATGTTATATATAAAGCTTGTGTTTCTGTGTATTTTGTACATTTATCTGTATCTTACTCTCACCATATTTGTGTGTGTTTTTAATTATASCTTAATTAGGAGACCATCTCATTAATGTGTTTGATTTCTTGGTTTAGTATTACTTATTTCGTTCGTTTTTTTATTTTCCTCTACCTCAGAACTATTGAGGATAAGTTTGATTCAATTTGTTTATTGCATTGTTTAGAGGAGGATTAGTGAAATGTGGTTTTTCACTTTTCAGCAGCATCATTTTATTTAATTTTGAATTTGGCATTGTAAATGTCTAATACTCAAGAAGAATTCTTTTTTTGTTTTGTTTTGTTTAGCCCTCTCCTTTGCCCCTACCTTAATTCTTTCACTCTATCCTTTGATACTGGATCATTCCTATCAGTGTGAAGCCTTCACATATTTCATCTTAAAATGAAAGAAAACACATGCAAGGAAACTGCCCTTGACTTCATTTCTTCCTATAGCCACTGTCTTATTTCTCTGATTATCACTTATCTATACAAATTGTCCTCACTAGCTCACCTCTGTTTTCTCCACTTTGATTTGGCTTTGAGTTTATAACTCTTACAGAGTTGTTCATTCTGCTCACATCAAGGTCACTTATAATTTCCATATTAATGACTCTAATGCATTCTTCTTTTCAAATTCTCATTTTATGAAAACTATCAGTAGCATTTAGTATAATAGACCATATTTTTCTGTATGAAAAATTATCTTCTCTTTGTTTTTGCGATGCTGCATACTCTTATGGCTGCAGTTTCTCTTCTCATTCTCTAAGCAACATCTGAATGTTAAAATCCTCAGGAATTAGTTCTGGGCCCAGGGACATTTCTTCTCTGTACTTTGCTTCTAATTCTTTTCACCTTTATCTTTAAATATGTCTACCTATGTTGGCAGATGCCTCAATTTATATTCCCAACCCAAACTTCTCTTCTGAGCCACCAAGTCACATAAAAAACTACCTCTTGTCATCTCTATTCATTCATTTCTTGGTCATCACAGACTTAACATGTCTAAAATTGAATTCTTGGATCTGTCAAACCTCTTTCCACAAAAACTAGCAAAACTAATCTTTCATTTCTATCTCCCTAATTGGCCCATTCATCTCTTCAGTTGCTTAAATCTGAAAGTCATCTTAATTTTCTCTTTGTTTTTCAAACAGTAATTTATCTTTATTTTAAAGAAATTAACCAATACAGGAACTTAAGCATGATAAATTAAGTGAAATTCATTCTAATTCCCAAAGTGTCATTATTAACATTGAAGAAAATTATTCTAGACATCTTTTTATACATATACAAATAGAAGGATAGAACTAAATTCTTTTATAGAAATGGAATCATAATATAGTTGGCACTTTAAATTCTAACTGAATTTTATAGAAAAGAAAAAAGAAACCCTCATGAGACTGAAAGAATTTCTGAATTTGAAAAAAAACATTTTTTTAAATTTTCACTCCAGGAGTTGTTATTTTCCCAGAGATTCTTTGAAGATTAAGAAGAAAATATTAGGTAAAACATTTCAAGAGGCTTGAACATTGTTCAAGAGGTTTGAGCATTATATTTAACTTTAAATAGTATTCATTGAATCTCTGCTATGAAAGATGAGGACATTAATGCTTGTTGTCCTCCTTTCYTTGTCCCTGTTTATCCCTAGTCTATTTTTTGTTGATACAACAAAATACCTGAGACTGGGTAACTTAAAAAGGAAAGAGGTTTAATTGGCTTATGATTCTGATGACTGGAGAGTCTAAACTCCTACTATGGTGCCAGGAACCTGGTAAAAGTCCACTGGCTGCATGGCAGCATGGTGAAAAAAATRGAAAGGGAACCTGTCATGTGCAGAAGAGAGCAATCACATGGAAGGACAGGAAACCAGGGTATTTGGAGGCCAAACTCACTCTTTTTATAATAGCCAGGATCTTAAGGGAACAAACTAGGGTTTTGTGGGAACTGAGATGGACCCACAGGGAACTACATGAATCTCTTTTGAGAGTGGCACCTCCACTGACCTAATCACCTTTCTCCAAGATGCACCTGTTATCTATTCTATCACCTCAACAGCACCCCATTGGAGATCAGACTTCTAGCTCATGAATCTTTGGGACACATATTCAGTCCATATTAAGAGGTTGTTCTTTTGCCTTTTTCCTAAACTGCCTTTATGAGTCTGAGACCATATTTTCCTATCTAAGCTAATCTGAGTTTCTCAGTGTAGCACCTTAAGATATGCAGTATCTTTTATAGGYTACTGCAGAATAATACTTATAATTTTTAAATTACTCTTCCCTATTTTATTGTATTTCCCTAATAATTACAGAATGCTTATGAGCTATGTTCTGTGCTAGATGTGGGGGAATTTAATGATGAGTAAATGAAATGTGATCATTCTTATTAACTTTATTGCCTAGAGAGGAATCATATATTTAGATTATCAAAGAATATGAAATAATTAACGCAGAAAAGAAACATATTTTTATAAAGCCTGGCTACCCTTTTCCCAGTTTGAGTAATTGACAATTCTAGGAACCTTTGTGTGGCTTTTTGAAATACATCTCTACCTTTCCTTTATGCATTAGTTTTCATCCTTCCTCAGCTTGAACTGATATTCTAAGGAAGTTAGATTCTTTATTTACCTCAAGCACAACATTTTTTTATTGCCTCTGTACATGGTTTCTATGCTTTGAATACTGCATTCACT